CTGAGACAGATCCGTGTGACACCGGCGGATCTGGACGGTCATGATTTGAAGATGGACTATCCTAAGAGAGGGTTGCCAGTGGTCTCGCGAGTGTTTAGGAGGCCACAGAAGAAGCAGGAGGGTGTTCTTCGGGAGAGTGTTTTAGAGGGTGTTCACGAGGGTGCGCACTTGGAACACTTGAAGGGATCGCCAGGCCAAGTGGACGATAGTGGCGTGTGGTGTCTGCTACGGGGGCTGCAGCATCTGGAGCACCTGGAGCTTCATGCTCCACCGCGCTACAGAAACGCATTCATCTCACTCGAAAAGTCGTACCTTCTCACCACTCTCCACATCACCGGAGCTTTTCTTGACGATGACGCATTGACGTGGTTGACTCACCTGACTTGGTTGACCCACCTCAGCCTGGCTTGCTGCACGTTCTCAACCGAGACGGAGGTCCATCAATGCTGGAGGGCCCCCGTCAGCGTGGTGAAGAGAATCGCAGACGCCATGCCGAAGCTCGAGTCCCTGGACCTGTCGGGAACTGCAGTCACTAAAGAGGACATTATCGAAGTGCAATATCTGGAGCATTTGGAGCGCTTGACTTTGAAGCAGTGCTGCAATCTGGGCCAGTCGTTTGTGCGGTTCCTCTGGTTTGTGCCTCGGCTCAAGGAGCTGGATCTAAGTTACAACAATATGCCGGCAGCTTGGCTGAGGCACGTTGTGGATGGGAAGCGGGTGAGGAAGCTGAGTGTGAGGGGGTGTGGGTACAAGGGGAAGACCGTGCGCGGGCTTGTGCGGCCTTGGCTTGTGATCGAGGACTGATGTGATGGTTATTGCTGGTACCAACACGTGTGCTGAATGGCATATGGTTTATGGCAAACACATGGCTTATGGACTATGATGGCAAGTGTGGGCCATGTAGTGTAGGGAAAAAGGAAGGGCATGTGAGAGCATGTGATTGTGTCTGTTTTGTGTCTGAGTGATACATCATGCTAGGTTTACATTTATTTATATGGTGTTTGTTTACCTATGGTGATGGGTGGAGACCTCGTTTGACAAATGAAAATAAAGCATTATAAAAAGGGCATGACGTTTGACTAATGCATAGTGTAGTTATATTATTATAAAGTCTACTGCCCTCCATATTCCATAGATAACAAGAATTCCAGCAATAGCACTTCGTCCAACAAAAGCATCAAGAGGATGCCTCAAGAGACATTTGAGCATACACAAAGGCTCTCAACAGAGAGGATATCACAGGACACATACACTAGTGTCCTGATGGTGTGTTTACTCGTGTGTTGGGTGTATACCCCAGGACACATGCACCTGCACTGACATGCATGGCTCAAGTGTAGACCTGGGAGCAACGGGCTATCAGCCTTTGCTGATGTCCTGTGCTGTCTACAAAATTGCCTGTCTTTCCTAGCAACCCCTAAGCTCCTCTCCTCAAGCAAATGATTCAGGCCTACTGCCACTTCCTCTGCTCCATCAACTCATTGTCCATGGTGAAACTGAAACCCTAACTGCTTATGTGTGGCAAGTGCTGCGCAAGCAAGCCTGGCCTCCCCTGCCACCTGCGAAGCCTTCACTCCCACACGGCCAGTGCACGCCACCGGACAGTCAGTGCGCCACTTTCAGCCGCTTGGCTGCCTGCAAGAAGCCTGCGAGAACCTGAAGCTCGTCCAATTGCTGGCAGAGGGATACGAGGACGAAAGGCACAAAGGACAATCCAGAGAAACAATTGTGAGCGTCAACAGCCATGATGCGTTTCAATAAACATGAAGAAAGGGGTTGTCATACAGGGAGGGAATGAGTGTGGATGGGCATCGCGAGTCCGTAAGCTCTTTGATACAAGTCATTCGCTACCCATCCGTAAGCTCACAATAAAAACAGTCAACACCTGCAAAGAACAGTTGCCGAACATGTCAAGCAGTGTCAATCCTATCGACCATTTTCGCTCCTACCGAACCAATCTACCACCCCACCAACCACGTACTGTACAGCTTTCACTCCTCACCTGCGACATGAAGTGCCGCCCGACGGCCGACAGGAGCTGCTCCTTGGACGAGTTGGGTCCAACTTCCGCCTGCGGTAACAGAGACGCAGCGGTTTAGAATAAAGCGAAGGTCATGAGACGACGACGATGCGAAACGGAGAAAGAACACTGAGTCATCACCGAATGAGCGAGCTAACCCGCACAGCCAGCGACGTGACCGACGTGGGAAAGGCATAGACAGGTAGGACGCCGTACCCAGGGTGGGCTTAAACGCCTTGACCCCGACCCCGCGACGCACACTGACGGCGTTGACAGTGCCGCACTCAACGAGGAGTGGCTCCCGAGAGACGCGAACGTGGCGTGTTGGATCACACGCGAAGAGACACCGACTTCGATTCTTTTCTACGTCGATTCCAGCCGCCTCTATCCCTTCATAACCTCTTATGCTTGAAACCCTACCAGTTTAAAGTGCCGGCGGTATCTCTTCAGTGCTGACGTGTGAAGTTTGCTCAGATCCACCGACACTAGCGACGGCTGCTGTGTCTGCAGCGAAGCATACAAATAACCAGGCAGAAACGACAGGAAAACGAAGTTGATCATGCTGTGCAACTGACAAGTAGGTCAGATCTGAAGTTCTGCAAGGAGCATGCAGGAAACTTTTCAACAAAAAAAAAAAGAACGTTCGTGGAAACCTGAAGGCATAGAGCAGTCCTTCAATTAAAGAAACGGGAAGAATTAACAAAACCATAGTGAGAGGGGAGACATAAGAAAGATGTACACGGAACAGTCTGCAAACGGGAAACCAACGGACACATTAACTACCAGAGAAGGCCTGGCCATTACCCCTCCGGAGAAGGTGAGATATAAAAGAGGCTTGACAGAGGTGCCGCAACCTATACCAGTCCAACGACGAGGATAACGAAACGGGACAAGGGCATCTAGTAGACGATGGAAATACACGCCATGGGAAGCTAGAGGCTGCAGAGCGCACCGTGTGGCCATCGCGCATGTCAATCGCGACGTTGTCCGACAATTGCGACAACGGCATCGGTGTTGTCGAAACCGTCACGCCCGTCGTCGTCGTCGCTTCTGAAGCTACTACGGGTGCGGCTCCTGCGGCCTGCCGTCTCTTCGCCCTGGCACCGCCGGCGACTGCAGGAGCCATGTTGATAGAAAGAGGTTTAGTCTCTGCTCGAAGTTGTCGTTCAGACGGCTACGCGTCTCGCTGGATCAAGATGAAAAGGCACTGATCCCGAGGACGATCGTTCAGCGTGGCTGCGGTTACCGTGTGCTATCAACCTAGTAAAACGAGCATAGAAGAGGAGGGCAGCGGCAACTAGAAACTAATAAAAAAGGACTCCTGAAGCCAAGGTATGAAATGGCTTCAAATAGTAGTGGGGGTTGAAAGAAAGAGTGAGGAGGTATAAGATCGAGGAAAGCTGGTAAGGGAACTTGCAGAGGGGTGGCAAATGGGGGAGTGGAGAAGAGCTGGCCGCATGGCATGCAATGCAACACAAGCCTGGCTAGTTGGCCTGGTTTACCTGGTTCGGTTCGTGTTTGGCCTTGCAAAACCGTAATCAGGCAAACCGGGCCTGTTTTGCGGGCTGGTTCGCCTCGTTTGGTCTTTCGCTTTAGACATACCGAGCCGAAACCTAAGGCTCAAGGCTGCTTTGGTGGTTGGGAGGTCGCGGAGGTTGAGGGAGGCGAACGGAGCCTGCTGCTTCTGCTGCTGGTATGGTGTGGTGCGGTTGTACAGTAGAGTACAGTGTACGTGTTGCTGTTGCAGCCAGTTTGAACTGTAGCTGATGGAGGATGACGGCTTTCTGACAGATAATTTTGGAGTCAACTCGTGACGGGGATATCGCGTGCCCGTCGTAGAGCCTCGACTTCTCATCGCTGGACATCTGCGGCCAGTCAGGGGAGGGGATGAAGGTTCAGCAGAAAGGTGGCTGTTCGCCTCCACCCCACTGACGGACTCCGGCTGACTCTGACGTTAACGAACCGCGATTGACAGAACGGAACAGATGGCAGGCCAGCAGCACGCAGTGTGCGGCAGTTTGTGCAGTTCCGTCGAGGAAATGACGGAGCGCTCTGTTTTCTGGTTTCCAATTCCTTTCAGCAGTGGTTTTGACACCACCCCGCTTCGCGCTCGCGTCCGATTCCTTTGGGACAGTTTTTTCTGACATTTCTAATTTCCTGTGACCAGGGATTTTATGAAGACTACCTGGTTTCAGTTTAGTAGCCAGTGTAAAAAAATAAAACCCACTCGAATGGCTGGCCATTAGGGAGGCATCAACCCTAAACACCTTGCCTCATGGTGTTTAGGGTTGATGCCTCCCGAATGGCATGCCATCCAATAGGGGATTATATATTTCGTTGTTCCGCGCTGTTAGTTAACAAGCGACGCCTCATCTGGAATATCCCTATAAACAAAATATACTATGATTGGTAGGACTCGGAAAGGGAATTAGCGAAATTATCGGCCCGAAGGTATCGGACGCGAGCGCGAACCGAGGTGGTGTCAAAACCACTGCCGAAAGGAATAGGAAACTTGGAAACAGGGCGCTTTGTCATTTCCTCAGTTCCGTCCTTGGCGAACATCTCGTCAAGGCGACCTCGTTACGAGACATCCGAGGAAGAGACCTCCTTCACACCAGCACGGCCAAACCAAATGGGTCTGGGGTGTTGCCGAAATGTTCCCTGCATTTACAGACGGTACAATGCGGTATTTATTGTAGCGCCACGGATCCACATGTCCAATCATCAAGCGTACGTAGGGGCTTTCTGCGCCTTGTTTCCTGATACTACACGACTCTGAAGCCTCGAGGTGTCCGCCATATCCCTTCACACATGCTGCGCCTGTCAACTCGTACGTTTGACGTGACAGCTGCAACAATTCCAGGATGATCGTCACATCAGCAAGCTGATCCGATGGACCTTTCGCTATAGACCTGTACACCAGTTGCACCGGCAACCCGCAAGAGTTATCATTTTGTTTTACATTAGATATGTACAGTGACTAATTATCTTCCGTAGCTGCCCTGTCACAAAGCCAATAGATCAATAAAGCATCATACTGCACCAATGACAGCCAACAAAACACAATTCAACGACCATATCCGAAGCCAGAATTGTATCGTGCTTCTTTTCTTCGCTGTCCTGTTTCAGGCCCATGCATCACAATACCCCCGAACAACCCATTTCCTTCAACCCCACCTCCCAGCTCAATCACCCCAGACGTGTTCCCTGCTGCTCCAGAACCTACAACCCCTCCCAATCCTCTCCTTCCTGTTGTCTGGTGGTGCTGGAGCAACAGCATCTGCGCTCGTTCCCTCTCCCTTGCCTCCCTTGCCACCCTTTCCGCTCTTAAAGCCTCTATGCTCTTCTTCCCATGCTCCGCAGCAGCACCCTTCAAGTCACACCTCATCCCTTCTTCTGTAGCTCCGCCCTCCTTCCGCTTCCTTCTCTCTGTCCCTTTTTCATTTCTGGCCTTCCTCCCCCTTGTTGCTCCTAGCCCCCTGCGTGTCTCCCTCCCCTGCCTCTCCCTCACGACATGCTCCTTGCGTTGACGCTGAACACCCCTCTCCATGGATCTATCCCTGCCGCTGCGCCTGTGCCTGCTCCCCTGCCTTCTCCCCACTCGACGATCACTGTCACTGTCCGAGGAGGAGGAAGATGGACTCTCGGAGGGAGAGCGATCAGCGGAGGAAAATCGCTTTTTGACGTGATGCTTCTTAAGGTGCTTGCTGGAACGGCGGTGGTGGTGCCGGTTATCATCATCGTCGCTGCTTGCAAGGGATGAAGAGGAAGAGGAGTCTGGCGAGTCAGACCGCCGCCTGCTCCTCTGCTTCTTTCTCGCTCCAAGATCACTGTCGCTGTCCGAGGAGGAAGAAGGACTCTCAGGGGAAGACCGATCAGCGGAGGAAATTTTCGCTTTGACGCGCTGCCGCTTACGGTGTTTCCTTGAACTGCGGTGGCGGCGGCGGTGGTTATCATCGTCATCGTCGCTGCTTGCAAGTGAAGTGGAGGAGGAAGAGTCTTGCGAAGCAGACCGCCTCTTTCGGTGCTTCCGCTTCTTCTTGTGCCTCGGACTAGACATGTCCTCATCGTCATCACCATTGTCGTCTCTAACTTCGTCTTTTGCAGGGTGAATTTCTGTTGGGCGAATGACACGCAAATCCAGGGGAGGAAAAAGATGAGGCAGAGCCAAAGCAGCCAAACAATCTCTGGAAAATTTCACGAAAAGGGGAGGAGTAACAACCGAATCACAAAATATAAAGTAAAACTGAAAGAATAGGGTGTTACAGGCAGGATGAGCATACCTTTCCCAGGTCCAACATTTACTCTTTCTGAGTCCAACTTTTGAGGCGCCTGAAAAGTCACTCTTTGTGAGTCTGTTTTCGCCTCTGCTGCTTCCACGGGTCTTCTCTTTCCCACTGCCCTGCTTCCTGCATCCCCCTTAATCTTCCCCGCCCTTCCTTCCCCATCCTCCTCTGTCAAGTCACCCGCTCGGGCATACCACGGCTGCTGCCCACCCTTCCCCACCGCTCCGTACCCTAATCTATGCTTTTCCTCTTCCCCCGCCTTGTGCTCCTTCTCCCACACCTCCTGCGCGCGACCGGGCCTCACCGCGTCGCTCGCCTGCGCGCCTGCACCGCACGCTAGCGCGAAGAAATCAGCCGAGTCTAAGCCTTCGAAGAGGTTTATGTGACCCGCTTTGAGCGCGCCCGCTTGCGGAACAGAGTCGCCTATGCTTGTAGCGAGTGATTTGGTCAAACGGGACGAGTCCGCATCCACCACTGCATGATGTTCTGCCGCCGACGGTTGCGCCGCTTGGTCCTGCGGGGGAAGCAGACGCTCCTCCGCCGCCGCCTGCTGCTGGGGAAGCGGAAGGTGCTGCTGCCGCGCGCGCGCGCGGAGCGTCTGAAGGCGCAACTCGCTGTCGCGGAGGCGCTGCTCTTCCGCCAGCGCCTGCTCGCGCGCAGCCTCCTCCGCCTCGTCCTTGCGCACCTTCTCCCGGTTCTCGTAATTGTACACGTTCCACCGCTTCTGCGGAAGAATGTTCAACCCTCCGTGCCCCCCCATCGCGACCACTTACTCCAGCTACTGTGTTTCTCAAGCGGGGGTGGTTGCACGTGTTATGAGTGCAAGCACTGGGGACTGGAAAGCTTGGTTGCATGTATCCGACACAGAAATCCAGAAGTCTGGTTCCACGAGAAATGTCCCAGGCCGCGTTCTGTTGGCGCACACTGGTAAGTGACCGGTGGCTGGATGGTTCCACGATAAGTGCGAGGTATCCGAACCTGGTTTGCGTGAATCTGCGGTGCGCCCATGGGTACAGTAACCGAAAAAACCCTACCGAAGGCATGGTGGTTTGGGAAAACAAAATGGTTTGGGCAAGGTAATTAAAAAAAGGGGGGTTTTGCAAAGTTGCTTCGTGTTACGGGTGCAATGAATCGAAGTAGCGAGAATTGCACTAAGGTGTCAAACGAGTACAAAATGTGAGCGAAGGCATGAGCGAACATTTATACGCGAAACATGCAAAACGGTAACGCGGTGCGTGCGAGCTTGCTAGTGCTACGCTGGAGCGAGGCTCGGGCTAGTCCCGAAGCGTAGGCTGATACGGCCATGCCAGCAGTGCGAGGTTTGGCAAAACAGTGCGCGCGAAGTCGGCGAAGTTCCGTTAGCAGTAACGGGCGAACAATCGGCTGTTTGCTGTACGCGATGTAGTCGGCTCCGTAAGGAATGCCGAGAAAATTCCTTACACTACCCCCCCCCCTTAAGAAGCCCCCTCCGCTACGCGAGTGCGTGTATATCGCGGAATCCCCGGCTCCTCAGGTACACTTGCAGGGCAGGGTGATTTTCGATGTTGCTCAGGGGCACCCAGCTATCTTCAGTTGGCGTGCGGTCTTTCCAGCGAACGAGGAATTCAATCCTCCTGATTCCCGTGGGGTGGCGGATCCGATGGCTTAGAATTTTTTCGGGCTCGATGATCGGCTCTGATGCAGGGCGAGTCATTGATTGTGGCCGGTGACGCGGCAGTTGACTTGTGGTCGGGATGTATGGGCGAAGTAGGCTGACGTGGAACGAAGGGCTGATGTACCAGCCGGTTGGCAACAGTAGGTGCGCGGTGACGGGTGTGATCATGTGACTGATTTGGAATGGTCCACAGTAGCGCGGTCGTAATTTTGGTACGTCGTGCAGTCGCAGATTTTGCGTGTCGAGCAGCACGTAATCTCCAGATTGGTACGTGACAGGGCGGCGGTGGCGATCAGCGTTGCGCTTAGCGATGACGTTGGCCTTTTTTATTGCTTCGGCGGCTCTGGTGCGGGCAGCTTGCAGGATTTCGGCGAATTGTTGTGCACGTGGCGTGGGGTTGTCCGGACTCGGCGTCATGGGCACTGTGGGGTTTTGCCCATAGTTCAGGTAGAACGGGGACTGCTGCGTCGTGGCTGATGTGGCGTTGTTGTACGCGAACTCGATCAGCGGCAGCTGCTGCTCCCAGGTCGTGGGGTCGTCGCACGTGGCACGAATCAACTGCTCCATCGTCTGATTCGTCCGCTCCGTTTGGCCGTCGGTCTCGGGGTGGTACGACGAACTGAACTGTAGCCTGGTCCCGAACTGCTCCCAGAGGTTCTTCCAGAAGTTGCTGGTAAACTTCGTGTCCCTGTCGCTGATAATTGCTGCTGGTATCCCGTGCAGGCGAACAATGGCTGCGATGAACAGGCGAGCGGTCTCCTCGGCTGAGATCGACTTTTTGCACGCAGCGAAGTGTGCCATCTTCGTCAGCCTATCCACGACGACCATCACCGCGTCGTTACCCCCAGAGTTCGAAGGTAACCCTGTGACGAAGTCCATGGTTACTTGCTGCCAGGCGCGTTCGGGCGGTGGGATCGGCTGCAATTGACCCGCCTTCCGCTTCCTTGAACTCTTCATCACCTGACACGTCGGGCACGAGCCCACGTGCTGCTGTACGTCGGTCAACAGCTCCGGCCAGTAATAATACCGCTGCAGTTGCTGTCGCGTTTTTTCTACCCCGAAATGTCCCGAGGTAATCCCGTCGTGTGCCTCCTGTAGTAGCAGCTCCCTCAGTAGTGAGTACGCGGGTACCCAAATGCGGTTGGTGCCTGTTTTTACGTAGTAAACTCCTTTTGCTTCTGCCAGTTGCTGTGAATTTCCGGTCGTGAAGAATGGGTCGGTGCGGTATCCGTGGGTGAATAGGCCAGTTAAAAGCGGGTTGGTCTGGGCGAGTAGGATGGCGTGGAGTTGGGCGGTGGGGCGGGTGAGAGCGTCGGCGATGTTGGATGCTCCTTTTTTGTACGTGACGGTGTAGTGAAAATTGGACTCGAGATAGTCCAACCAGCGAATCTGTCGTGGGTTGAGATTCGGTTGGGCGCGAAGGTACTGTAGCGAGCGGTGGTCTGTCCGTACTGTCACGTCGGCGCCAGTCAGGTAACATCGCCAAACTTTGAACGCGTGCACGATCGCTAGCATCTCGCGGTCGTGTATCGGGTAGTTACGTTCGGGCGGGTGTAGTTTGCGGGACTCGTACGCGATTGGCTCGAGGCCATTCCCGAAGTCCTGCAACAGTACTGCTCCCACAGCGATGTCACTTGCGTCGGTGACGAGCTCGAACGGACGGTGGGGATCTGCAATGTGAAGGACGGGCGGGGAGCACAAAATATTTTTGAGGGCCGAGAAGGCAGCTTGCTCTTTCTCCCCCCACGTGTACTCAACCCCCTTCCTCAGCAGGTCGGTCAACGGGGCAGTCAGCTTCGCCATGTCGGGGACGAACCGGCGCACGTAGTTGACGAACCCCAGGAAGCTCTGCAACTCGGTCAAGTTGGTCGGCGCGTGCCAAGCCTGAATCGTCGCAATTTTCTTCGGGTCTATTTCCACTCCCGCAGCTGAAATAACATGTCCCAGAAACTCCAGGCGGTCTTGTAAAAACTCACACTTAGATGCTTTGGTCAGTAGGCGGTTCTCACTCAGAATTTTAAAAACTGCTTCGATGTCTTGTAAGTGCTGTGCTCTGTCAGGGCTGTAAATCAGTATGTCGTCCAGATAAACGATGACGCACTTATCTAAAAGCGGGCGGAATGCTTCGTTCATGGTCATTTGGAAAGTGGCGGGGGCGTTGGTCAGTCCGAATGGCATGACAGTGTATTCGAAGGATCCGTAGCGTGTTCGGAATGCGGTTTTAGGGCAGTCGGGTGGGTTGACGCGGATTTGGTGGTAGCCTCCTCGGAGGTCGATTTTCGAGAAAACCCGGGCTGTGCGCAGTTGGTCGATCAGTTCGTCGGCTCGTGGGATGGGGTAACGGGATTTGATGGTAACCCTGTTCAGTGCCCTGTAGTCGATACACATGCGAAACCCCCCGTCCTTTTTCGGTGTGAACAGTATGGGTGCGGCGAAGGGCGACGAACTGGGGCGAATGAATTCCTTTTCGAGCAGGTAATCGAGCTGCTTCCTCCGTTCGTCTAGTTCGGGTTGGGTCAGTCGGAACTGTCGCTGTACGGTCGGCTGTGCCCCCGGTTCCAGTTCTATCCTGTGATCGTGCGGTCGCTGAGGTGGCAGTCCCGTCGGCAGGTCGTCCGGGAAAATGTCACTGTACTGTTTTAACAGCGCTGCCAGATCACTCGGTACGTCGGTCAGCAGTTTCTGTAAATCCCCTCCCTTGTCTGCTGCCTCGGCTTCCCGAATGTCAACCGCGTACACGTCAGCTCCGGCCGCTACAGCGCGTTTCATCGTGATCGCATTGACACGCACCGACGAAGACTCAGGCGAGCCCCAGCGAGGTAAGGCGATGTTGTTACCGTTCACTCGCACAGTGCAGTCGCCCGTCGTCCAGTCGATTCGCGGATTGTGTCGTCGCAGCCAATCACGCCCGAGTAAAATGTCGGTTCCGTCGAGGGTCGTTGCGAGCATTTCTTGGCTAAACGTGAAGTTACCCCCGCATCGAATCCGAACTCGGTCTACGCGTTCCCGTATTGCCAGCGGCGTGCCGTCTACCAGTCGTGCGTCGATCTCAGGTAAGCATCGGTCCAGTGGCAGTCGCAGTTTTCGTGCTGTAGCAGTGTTAATGAGGCTGTGGCTGGCTCCCCCGTCTACGAAGATTTTAACTAAGTCCGTCCCAATTTTCCCACTGAGCAGTATAGGGCTATCTACCGTGGTACCCTCCTTATTCGGCCGGGTGTGGTCGATTGCGTGAACCGGTACAAACACTCGGTGAGGGTCGGTTGGGTCGGGCGAGCGGCGTGACCTGTCAGTAGAGGGCCCGTCTGCAACTGACTTCCAGCGTTTCCCTGCTGCTTGGTCTGTGTCTGCTGCTCAGCTTCCCCCTTTCCCTTAGCGTTTTCCGGGCATTCGCTCTTGCGATGTCCCGGCCGATTGCACGCAAAGCAGCGCCCTTTGAACGGTGCGGCAGCGGCATTTGCGGCGACGGCACGTATCGTGGCGCTCTCGTTCGTCCCACGAGGCCGATGTCCCCAGGTGTTGTTTCCGTAGGACCCCGGTCTCGGTCGGCGAAAGAAGTCGAGCTTCTCCGCCATAGCGAGAATTTCCTGAAACTCAGTGACGCCGCGAAGCTGGATTTCCTGAGCGATGTCCTGCTTCAGGTCGCCGATGTAGCGGTCGATGCGTTCGCTCTCATGCATGTAGCCCACCTGCTCGCATAGCGCCAGAAATCCGCTCGTGTAATCCTGGACGGAACCGAGTTGGCGCCAAGTGCGGAGCTTCTGTCGCGCCGAGATCGAGTCCGCGATTGGCTCAAATCGAGCGCGCAGACCTGCGCACCACGCGTCCCACGTGCGATACTGGGGCACCTCCACGAAATACGACGGCGCCCAGGGTCCGGTTTGTCCTTCCCGTGTCGGTAGTGTCGCGTAGTCGGTCGGCTTCGTGACGATGACGCGCCACCAGTCCATGGCGGGTCCTCGCAGCAACGACACGGCGTATCGAATCTTCGCCGAGTCCTCCGAGACGTAGTTGGCGTCGAAGAAGACGTTCATTGTGAATAACCACGCCTGGACGGTAGGACCACCCCGTTGACTCGGGTCAAAGCATGGCGGGCACTGCGGCTTCAGCGGCATCGGTGACGGCAGTCCCGAATCGTGGGTTGGTGCCGAAATCGTGACGCGAGGCTGACTTGGGGCCGCATGCGTCGCTCTGGGGTGTGTCGTGCCGTGGTCGTCGTCTCCGTCGGGGCGGACGACGCCATCACTGGCCGCGCTCGCGGGTTGCCCCACACTCCCGTGTTGTGATGTTGAGGGTGCAGGTTGAATCGGAGTGCCAGGTGCTTGAGATTGTGCTTGTTGTGCCCTCATGAGGTCATTTTGCAGCGATGAGCGTTCTGCCGTTAATGCCGCGATTTCCTCGGAGCTTTCGTGTAGCTGTCGCAGCAGATCGTTCAAACGCTCCTGCGTGAGGGTGGTGACATCGATATTTTCAGCCATGACGAAGGGCGTCGGCTCGTCTTAGTCTAGGCGCGGTCGTGGCTGCACGCGTTTACGAGAGAACGCGAGGACAGCGGCTCCTAGGGGCTAAGGTGCGTGAGTCCCTTCGAGTGAAAAATCAAAAGTTGATTTCCTGGTGTGCGGAGATGCGCGGTCCGAAAGAAAGGGGCTCTGATACCAAGTGTTACGGGTGCAATGAATCGAAGTAGCGAGAATTGCACTAAGGTGTCAAACGAGTACAAAATGTGAGCGAAGGCATGAGCGAACATTTATACGCGAAACATGCAAAACGGTAACGCGGTGCGTGCGAGCTTGCTAGTGCTACGCTGGAGCGAGGCTCGGGCTAGTCCCGAAGCGTAGGCCGATACGGCCATGCCAGCAGTGCGAGGTTTGGCAAAACAGTGCGCGCGAAGTCGGCGAAGTTCCGTTAGCAGTAACGGGCGAACAATCGGCTGTTTGCTGTACGCGATGTAGTCGGCTCCGTAAGGAATGCCGAGAAAATTCCTTACACTTCGTCATCTTCAACAATCTTCTCTGAACCGCCTTATAGTGAAACCCCCAGTGCTTGTGCGCCAAAAGAACGCGACCCTTCCACGAGCCTACGAACTTTCGAGCCTTCTGCTGCAGTGGCGAATGGCTTGTGCGCCAACAGAACGCGGCCTCCACCTTCAAACCACTTCGTCCATCCACCACCATTCACCCCACCAACTGCACTACTTTCTCAACTTCCCTCACTCTCTCCACCGCATCCGCTTGTGCTGCAGCCTTAGGCCTCCACTCAGCTCCAGTCAACCAGAACAGACCACAGGCAAGTAGGACCCAATGTTCTAGCGTTGAACCCGCGTTATGGCGAGATGCTCATAGCTGGTGCTCTTTCCGTTAGCCTTTTTTTCTTATGTGGGTTACAGGTTGCCTCCACTCGTTGTGTGAATTCGATCCTTCGTTTGACCTAAACGCGCGAATCGTTACATTATAGCATTCTCTTCTCCGTTCCGTTGCCATAGGCGCTACCCTAGCCACTTCGTTACTTGCCGCCCCCTTAGTCTTCTTCCGGTGCGTCCGATACGCTTCTGCTGAGAGCACGCAATTGCTTCATTACTCGTCGCCTTCGCCGCGTTTCTCCCCCTCCCCCGGTCGTATCCCTTCGTCAACCTATCCTCCGCGTGTGCCCTCGCAAACGCTCCGACATCGCGCATCTCCTGTCCCGCATCAGCCGCCGCCACTGCATGGCATGGTCGCATGAGCTTATGCACCCCCACCCCCACCACCGACCTGCGCGCGCACACGCCAAGGCCACCCGCCCCCCCGCCATGTCTCGCCAACACGTCAGAGGCCACTCGTACCACGAGGCGCAGAGGCCGCACCCCGCGCAGGGCTCGTCCGCCGTGCCCGTCACGGGCGGCGAGCGCGCCGCTGCAGCGGCGGCGCGCGCAGGCGGAGCGGAGGTCGCAAGGCCCGTGGCGGGCAATCTAGAGAGCTTCCTCGCGCACGTCACCCCGCACGTCAAACTGCACTTCCTCCCCCAGGTACCGCCTACCGCCTCCCCCGTTCTCTCCCACAGGTACCACCCTCTCCCTTTCTTTTCCCAGGTAACTCTCCCCTGCTCCCTTCCCCGTATAATGCCTTCCCTCTCCCCCCCCCGCTCATCTCCCCACCTCTGCACTCCGCGCGCCTCCCTCCTCCGCCACCCCCGCGCGCAGGACTGGTGCGACGAGCACAGCAACGGCGCGCGCGCCAAGGCCCCCCCCGGCGCGCCTCCCGCAGCGTTCTTCGCGCTGAGCGACCTGTGGGACGCGCTGGAGGAGTGCAGCGCGTACAGCGCCGCCGTGCCGCTGCACCTCCCCCCCACAGGCGCGCCCGCCACGCAGCACTACGCGCCCTCCATCTCCGGCCTCCAGCTCTTCTCCCGCCTCCCCGCGTCCGCCGCGGGCCCCCCTGCGCCCGCGGGCCCCCCCGCCCCGCGCCTGAACTCGCGCAGCCCGCTGGAGCAGCCCAGCCTGGCGTCGTCCCCCCACTCCCCGCACTCCCCCCACTCCCCGCACTCCCCGCACTCCCCCCAATCCCCCCACTCCCCGCCGTCTCCCTGGGCGTCGTATCTGGAGGAGGGCGGCAATGGGCGGTGCGAGGAGGGTGCAGAGGCGTGGTGCCGTGACTGCAGCGGCGGGCGTCCGCTGCTGGAGTTCTTCGAGCGCGCACCGCCACACTGCCGCCCGCCGCTCTACACCAAGGTGCGGAACACGAACACATGCACTGCTGCACACTCCTTGCCTTCTTGTCTTCCCGCATGCCTAGCCATGAACGTTGCGTTTGCCTTGCTGCTTTGTGTTGCCCCAAAGCATCGCTGGTTTGTGTTGCCCCAAAGCATCGCTGGTTTGTGTTGCCCCAAAGCATCGCTGGTTTGTGTTGCCCCAAAGCATCGCTGGTTTGTGTTGCCCCAAAGCATCGCTGGTTTGTGTTGCCCCAAAGCATCGCTGGTTTGTGTTGCCCCAAAGCATCGCTGATTTGTGTTGCCCCAAAGCATCGCTGGTTTGTGTTGCCCCAAAGCATCGCTGGTTTGTGTTGCCCCAAAGCATCGCTGGTTTGTGTTGCCCCAAAGCATCGCTGGTTTGTGTTGCCCCAAAGCATCGCTGATTTGTGTTGCCCCAAAGCATCGCTGGTTTGTGTTGCCCCAAAGCATCGCTTCTGCAGCCAAGGCGTGTACTGTGCATGCCTCAGCTTGGGCTGCCCATGCGCCGCTGCTCCCAGAGTGGGTGCCGCTGCCTCCCTGTGTGTGCCGCTGCCTTGCCTTACATGCCCCTCTGCGGTAGGCGGCAGAGGGAGCGGGCAGTGCGAGCTGGAGCTGAGAGCGCGCGTTTGAGTCAAGCCAAAACTCGATTCACTGTGTGCCGCTGGTCACTGTGTGCCGCTGGTCACTGTGTGCCGCTGGTCACTGTGTGCCGCTGGTCACTGTGTGCCCTCCTTCCCTGTGTATACACCCCCCCACACATGCCATGCCATGCCTTCCCATGCCATGCCATTTGATGCCATGCCATGCCATGCCTCACGACGGCAGGTAGCGGAGTTGGAGAGGGAGTGTGAGGTGTTGAAACGCACCTCGAGCTTGCAGCTGCATCCGCGCAGCTGGATCGCCATCGCCTGGTGTGTGTGCCTGCCCGTCCCCTTTGCAAGGGGGGGCTAGCACCCCCTTGCACCCCCACCTTACTGCGCTCTGCCACGCACTGTCCCTTGTGCCACATCGTGCCGCCGCGTCCCCTCTTTCACCACACCCACCCACCACACTCTCTGCACTGCACCCACTCGTTCCCCGATTTCCGTGTCTCCCCAACAATGCCCTCGTTCGCCGCTCCCGCACCCCTGTCCTGTCCCGTCCCACTGCCATCACGTTTTGAGACGTCTCACAGCTTGCACCCACACCCATGTTCTGTGCATGCTCCCCCCCGTCCTGTCCCGTCCCACTGCCATCACGTTTTGAGACGTCTCACAGCTTGCACCCACACCCATGTTCTGTGCATGCTCCCCCCCGTCCTGTCCCGTCCCACTGCCATCACGTTTTGAGACGTCTCACAGCTTGCACCCACACCCATGTTCTGTGCATGCTCCCCCCCGTCCTGTCCCGTCCCACTGCCATCACCCCTCACACGCCCATCCCCCCTTCGAGCGCAGGTACCCGGTGTACAGCATTCCCACAGCCGTGGCACTGTCCCTTGTGCTCCCCCCCCGTCTCATCCCACGTGCCCATCACTCACGTGCCTCACTGCCCCCCTGCGCGCCCATCACCCCTGCCCACCCATCCCCCCTGCGTGCCCATCACCCCTCACGTGTCCATCCCTGCCTGCGAGCGCAGGTACCCGGTGTACAGCATTCCCACGGCCGCCACCACGCGGGACCTCGCCGCCTCCTTCCTCACCTTCCACAGCCTCTCCTCCCCTCTGCCCTCCTCCTCCGGTCAGCCCCTTGCCTCATCTGTCAGCAGCCCCTTGCCTGAATGATCAGCAGCCCCTGTCATTGTCGCGCCTTCTTTTTCAAGGCTGAAAAGAGAACTCGGATGCTTTCTTGCTCGCTCCTTGTGCTGATTCCTTGCTTGTGTTCCCTCCCAAGCTGCATCCCTCCCAAGCTGCATCCCTCATGCGCTTTCGTACTCATCGTACATGCTTGCATGTCAAAGTAGCTCTTCTATTTGCCCGTACCTACCCGCTCTCACCCTCTCTCTGCACCCCAGGGTCGTGCAGCCTCTGCAGAGCCAGGTTCTGGATCGCGCCGCCCTCCTTGCCCGTCTTCCAATCCGCCAAGCACGTGCCCGCCCGCCCATCGTTGGATTCAGCTGACGGGGCGAGCGAGGGGAGGCAACGGGGGGTTTTCACGACGCCTCTGGTGCCGTTTGGCTTTGCGGGGTACAAGACGTGGGGGACGGTGTGGGCGGACCGGGGGGCTGTGCGGGGCCTGGAGGTGGCGGCAACGCAATGGCTCAGGCAGATTGATGCCAACCTGCCCGACCATGCCTTCTTCTCCAGGCAGCGATAGCCGAACAGAAGAGCGTAACTTGTTCTGTTGCACATTTATTGGTGCTTTTAATGTTAACAAGTGAATGAATGATCAAAATGAGGGCATGCAGTTGGGATACAGGAACACATGGATATGTATGTGTACTTTGACCCACCCTCTAGGCTTGGTGAGGGGCAGTGCCAAGAAGGAGAGCAACAACTCAGGGTAACTGGAATTCAACCCCCCCTCCTCCCCAACTTGGGTGTTGTTGCATAACACGGCCCTTATACTGCATCGTTGCGGAGCGAGCTCCCCTGATTCTTTCGATACACTAGTTCAAAAAGAAACACTGCATCAATTCCAGAATTAAAATTTCACAATATAATCACTACTGGTACCCTATTATCTAGGACTACCGTATCTAACCTATGCAAGCATCATCTCGGGCAGCCAGACACCAGCCTCAATCTTGAACAAGCAGGGAGGACAGATTCGAGTGAACAAGAAGCAATGCAGCAAGGCGGCGTGCACCCATCCCCTTCCAGCCACCGATTCCAGCCAGCATCCCAAACACCCTGACAGGCAGGGTGCAAAAAGTGTTGCTCCTCCGTCACATCCCACTCTCCCTTGCCTCCCCCCACCGCCATGCCACGCCCAGCTGCATTTCCCCCTTCTGCTGCCCCCTCCCCTCCACACTACCCCCCTCTCCCCTTCCTCTCCTCCACCCATGACCCTCACCACCACCTCCCACTCCTGCTCTTCCCCTTGCTGCTCCCCCCGCTGCCCCCGAGGGCGCGGATCATGGCGGGGTGGTGGCACACGTGCGCCATGGTGAGCCTCTCCTCCGCGCGCACTCTCAGCATGCCGCTCACCAGCGCGCGGCACTCCTCCGACACGCCCTCCCACGCAGCGCCCTCCACACGCGCCCGCCACTCGCCCTGCTGAGGCGCCTCCCCTGAGTAAGGCCGCTCGCCTGCGATCATCTCGTAAAGCGTCACCCCCAGCGACCACACGTCAGCTGCGCGCCCATACCCCGCTGCCTCTGAGTTTCCTGCCTCTGCTCCCCCCGCTGCTTTTCTAGCGTGCTTGGCGGCGCCCGGGGCGGGCGGGCAGCGAGGGCGGCAGAGGGCCTCGACCTCAGGCGCCATGTACCCGGGCGTGCCTGCGGGAGTGCTGCACCCGCGCTGCCCCTCCGCCACCACCTGCGCCAACCCAAAGTCCGCCAGCCGCACTGCCCCCGCGGCCAGGCGGGGGGAGGTGCGCGCGGAGGAGACGGGCGCGGACAGGCCGAGGGCAGCGGGAGGGGCGCGCGCAGGCGCAGCAGGAGCAGCAGCGGAGGAGAAAGGCAGGGGGACGGTGAGGGGCGCGGAGAGGGGCGTGGGAGTGGCGAGGAGGATGTTATCGGGCTTGACGTCGCAGTGCACCACGCCTCGCTCGTGGCAGAACGCCACGGCGTCGCCCACGTGCTTCAGCACTTCCAGCGCCTCCGCCTCCGCCATTCCCCCTCCCCGCCCGCCTTCCCCGCTCGCCTTCCCCCACCACCGCCTCCCGTTGCCTCTCCCCGCGTCCCCCGCGCCGTTGCTTGCGGCAGCTTTGCGTCGCTGCATGAGGGCGCGGAGGTCGCCACCAGAGCACAGATCGGAGAGCATGTACGCGTGCTGCTCGCCCAGATGCACCTCGCGCACGCCCAGCACGCCCGGGCACTCGCTCAGCGACGCCGAAAGCATCGCCTCGTTCGACGCCGCCACCAGCTGCTTTCGCTCCACGCGCTTCACCGCCACCACCTCGCCGCTCTCCACTCGCCGTATCGCCACCACCGTGCCAAACCCGCCACGCCCCAACTCGCCGGTTGTCTCGAACAGCTCGGGGTCCAGCACACCGTCGTATGCGCTCAGCACGAGCGGCCGACGGCACGCGCGCGGGGCAATGCGTGTAGCAGCGGCGCGGGGAGCGGGAGGTGCATGGACTAGAGGCGGCGCAGGTTTCGCGGATTTAGCGACGGCAGCGGCAGAGTCGCCGGAGCTGGAAAACGTCGAAGCGACGGACGAATCTGACGAGGCGACGAGGTCAACGTTGATCGGCGTGGGTTCCGTCGACGAGGTGGACGCCTCGGACGGCGCATACCACGACGCCGTGACGAGACCTGCCAGCACGAACGAGGAGGAGAAACGGTTGGCACTCGCGTGCTAACCTAACTCTCTCTCGCGTCTACCTGAAAAGACAAAGGGATTTCCTGGAGAAAGGGAGAAAGAGAGAGGTAGAAAAAGGGGGGGTAGAGGACCAAGGCTCGCGTTAATTTCGACGAGAATGTCAGATAGGAAAGGGCGGCTCAAAAGACGAGTGAGACTAAGCTTCCCGTCAGAAAAAAATCGGTTGCTTACCTTCCAACTCAATCTCTTGTTCGGGCGCTTCGGGTTGGCCTTCGCTGGTCGATTTCGCCAAAGGCTTGCATGAGAAAGCGGTACTATAAACCGACGGCTGGGCCATCCAGATGTCCATGGCGAGGAGCGTACGTAAGCGACTGTAAGGCTCTCAAAGGCTATTGGTAACGAAGATCGCACCGTTTCAGGCGGATGGGACTTGTAAGGCTCTCTCAAAGGCTATTTCAGGTCTGTGTGAGGGCCAAAACAAGGAGGCAGAAGATAAGTTGTTGGAGGAAGTTGTGTTGTGTGCACTGAGCAAAAGAAGTGGCAGGAAATGGCTGGACTTGTATTGCATGCAAATAGACCAGGGAGGGAGGGACCCAGGGGAGGGAGGGGAGTGAGGAGGGTGGATGAGCGGCTCGACTGCTGGCGAGGACACCACTGCCAGAGCAAAAGTCGGTCCAGCGATAATCGCGGATACAAACCACTTTTAACTATGCCCGAACCTGTCAGGCTCGTCAAGGCTCGAACCCTATCCCCGACATTTGCTTCGCTAGAATTTCGCCTTTTCTGTTTTGCTACGCCACTGTAGCGGGATTTGTTTCAGACTTCCTGCCGGGCCTCAACAAGGAGATTTCCCGAACCTAAAATTCAGCCGTTGACTCTGTTGCCCAAGTCAGGTTTGGCGGGAAGACCGCAGTGTGTGGGAAATGACAGACTGTAAGGAAATTCCCTTTTCCTTACTTCGCGTCCCTGCTCAGCGCGTACGTCACTGTAGCACCTCAGTCAGCACCGTTACCACTCGCGACCATCGCATCATTCATCATCCCGCCCTTTTCGCACATCGCATCCCGACCTCACGGCTCGGCTGGTAACCCGCGCTCCGGGCCTACGCTTCGACACTTTCCCAACCTCAGTCCCAGGCTCGACGCGCGACAACCACAGTCCATTACCGTTACCACTATTATTTTCGCTATATAATCCTTCGCTCATGCCTTCGCTCATTGTACTTTTGCTTCGATAGTGCAATTCTCGTTCGTTCACTCAATTGCACTCGTAACACTTGGTATTCAGAGCCTACGATCTCATCTCGGACCGCATCCACACCTTCACTTCCCACTATCTCAATTTTTGGGGGGGGGTAGACGTCTCTCAGCGACACATGACCGCCGCTCGTAGTGCTCTCTCGCAAGCACGTACGGCCACGACCGAGGCTCTCGCTGAGCTTGCCCGACACCCCCGCCATGGCCGACCTCAATCTCGCCACGTTGACGCAGGAGCAACTCGATCGTCTCGTGCGACAATTGGAGGATTCGGCGCTTGAAATCGCGACGCTCACGGCGGAACGTGACTCCGCCCGTCAACAGTCGACGGTGAATGTTCCGACGACATCCCACGCACCAACCAATGTTTCTGTACATTCGGAGGAGCCGATTGTCATCTCATCCGGCACACCAACGCAACACAACAGCACGGGACAGCGCTCAGGCGCAGCCAGTGACGGCGCAGCCCAACCGATGCCCGGCATGGGAGGGAACAGGAGCACGCTAAGCCCACGGGAGCCCCGAGAAGCCCGTCGGCACGTGGAGTTTGCGGCGACAAGTGGTGAAAACGCCATGATGGCCCCAATGCCACTCAAGCCGCAACGCCCGCCCTGCTTCGACCCAAGCCAACGCGGCGGCCCGACAGTTCAATCGTGGGTCTTCACGATGAATGTGTTTTTCGACGCCAACTACGTCGAGTCGGACGCCGCCAAGATTCGGTATGCGGTTTCACTACTCAGGGGCCCCGCCATGGACTGGTGGCGAGTCATCGTGACGTCGCCACGCGCCTACGAGCCACCGTCGCACGAGGAAGGGCCCTCGGGTCCAGCTGTCACCTGGAGTTCGTTCTGCGAAACAGCCCAATACAGCACGTGGGATGCGTGGTGCGCAGGGCTTCGGGCGCGTTTTGAGCCGATCGCGGCTTCGATTTCGGCGCGTCAGAAACTGCGCACTTGGCGCCAGCTCGGGTCGGTTCAAGACTACACCAGCGGTTTTCTCGCACTTTGCGAACAGGTCGGCTACATGCACGAGGCGGAACGGGTGGACCGTTACGTCGGAGGGCTGAAGCCGGACATATCGCACGAGATAATGCTACGCGGGCTATCGAATTTCAACGAAATCCTCGCGCTCGCCGAGAAAATCGATATCCTACGCCGACCGAGACCGGGGTCCTATTTCGGACATCGCCCTCGGGGACCGATCGAGCACGCCACTGTACATGCCGTCGCAACGAATGCAGCTGACACGCCATTTAGAGGGCGCTGCTTTGCTTGCAACCGGCCGGGCCATCGCAAGAGCGAATGTCCAGAGGAGCTGAGGCGTCGAGGAGCAGAGCAGGGGAGGGAGTCTCAGAGGCAGGGAAACGCCAGCAGTCAGTAGAAGTTGGGCCAACTACTGACGAGACTGCCTGCTCGCCCAACCACACCGACCCTCACCGAGTCACAGTACCGATTCACGCCATCGATCGGGCTCGGATGAATAAGGAGGGTACAGCGACGGATTGCCCGGTACTGATCTACGGGAAAATACAGGGAGCAGCAGTGAAAATCTTCATTGACGGAGGAGCAAGTCACAGCTTAGTTAATACTGCAACCGCACGGAAATTACAGTTAACACTTAACCGATGTTTACCTGAGATAGATGCACGCTTAGTCGACGGCACGCCATTGGCCATACGAGAAAAAGTGGAGCGAGTAAGAGTCCGCTGCGGGGGAAACTTCGGGTTTACACAGGAAATGCTCGCAACGACGTTGGATGGGCACGACATTTTACTGGGACGTGATTGGCTGCGACGGTACAACCCACGGATCGACTGGACGACGGGGAGCTGCACAGTGCGAAGTAGTGGTAACTGGGTCGTCCTACCTCGCTGGCGGCCACCCGAATCTTCGACAGTCCAGGTCAACGCCATCACGATGAAACGGGCTGTCGCTGCTGGAGCTGACGTGTACGCAGTGGATATCGCAGTGGTAGAAAAAGACGAGCAGCAGAGTGATTTAGAGAAACTACTAGCAGCCGTACCGACCGAATTACAGGCACTACTGAAACGGTTCCCGGGGATATTTCCGGATGATTTACCACAGGGACTGCCACCTCAGCGAGCGCACGACCATAGGATCGAGTTAGAACCGGGGGCACAGCCAACCGTACAGCGGCAATTTCGACTGACACAGCCCGAGCTCGACGAGTTAAGGAAGCAGTTAGATTACCTGTTGGAAAAGCAGTTTATTCGACCAAGCTCGTCACCGTTCGCCGCACCCATACTGTTCACACCGAAAAAGGACGGAGGTTTTCGCATGTGCATCGACTACCGAGCGCTTAACAGGGTAACAGTCAAATCGCGATACCCCATCCCCCGCGCCGACGAACTGATTGACCAACTGCGAACAGCACGTGTCTTTTCGAAAATAGATTTACGGGGAGGTTACCATCAGATTCGGGTCGAACCATCGGACTGCGCAAAAACAGCATTTAGGACTAGGTACGGGTCATTCGAGTATACAGTAATGCCCTTCGGGTTGACGAACGCGCCTGCGACTTTTCAGATGACCATGAACGAGGCATTTAGGCCACTTTTAGATAAATGCGTGATCGTTTACCTCGACGATATCCTCGTTTACAGTCGGGATAAGCAGCAACACTTAGCAGATCTTGAAGCAGTTTTTAAGGTTTTAGAGGAACATCGGCTGCTCACCAAGGCCTCCAAGTGCGAGTTTTTTAGGGATAGGCTAGAGTTTTTAGGTCACGTCATTTCAGAGGCTGGGGTTGAGATTGACCCAAAGAAGCTGGACACGGTAAAAGCGTGGCGCCCCCCGACGAACATCACGGAACTGCAGAGTTTTTTAGGGTTTGTTAATTACGTTCGACGGTTCGTGCCCGACATGGCACGTTTAACAGCCCCACTAACTGATTTACTGCGTAAGGGGGTCGCTTTTACGTGGGGGGAGAAAGAGCATGCTGCCTTCTCTGCCCTAAAAAACGTTCTCTGTTCACCACCCGTCCTACGCATCGCTGATCCCCACCGCCCTTTCGAAGTGGTTACCGACGCAAGTGACATCGCCATCGGAGCTGTACTGTTACAGGACTTCGGCAACGGCCTCCAACCCATCGCCTACGAATCACGCAAACTACATCCGCCTGAGCGAAATTACCCGATACACGACCGCGAAATGCTCGCGATCGTGCATGCATTCAAAGTTTGGCGCTGCTACTTGACCGGCGCAGACGTGACAGTACGGACAGACCACCGATCTCTACAGTACCTCCGCGCACAGCCCCACCTCAACCCACGACAAATTCGATGGCTCGATTTCCTCGAGTCGAATTTTCACTATACGGTCACATACAAAAAAGGAGCATCGAATATCGCCGACGCACTGACCCGCCCCACTGCCCAGATTCACGCAATACTACTTGCCCAGACCAGCCCACTGCTGACAGGCCTATTTACCCACGGATATCAAACAGACCCGTTCTTTACAGGAGGCAACTCACAGCAATTCGCAGCGGCAAAAGGAGTCTATTACGTAAAAACTGGAACCGACCGCATCTGGGTACCGGGATACACACTACTGCGGGAACTACTGTTACAGGAAGCACACGACGGAGTTACCTCGGGACATTTCGGGGTAGAAAAAACACGGCAGCAGCTGCAGCGGTACTACTACTGGCCAGAAATGTTGACCGATGTGCAACGACACGTGGCATCGTGTCCCACTTGCCAGCTCATGAAGTCAAGCAGGAAGCGACCAGCGGGACAATTACAACCCATCCCGCCTCCAGAGCGTGCTTGGCAGCAGGTGACGATGGACTTCGTCACGGGATTACCAGCTGGGGCGAGTGGGAATGACGCGTTCCTGGTCGTCATTGATCGACTAACGAAAATGGCTCATTTCGCAGCATGCAGGAAATCCATCACAGCCGAAGAAACCGCCCGACTCTTCATCTCCACCGTCGTACGACTGCACGGGATACCCGCGTCGATCATCAGCGACAGGGACACGAAATTTACCAGCAACTTCTGGCGGAACCTGTGGCAGCAGTTCGGCACGCGCTTACAGTTCAGTTCATCCTATCACCCCGAAACCGACGGACAGACGGAACGGACAAATCAGACCATGGAGCAGCTGATACGAGCCACGTGCGACGACCCGAATACGTGGGAACAGCAGCTGCCACTCATCGAGTTCGCATACAATAACGCACCATCAGCCACGACGCAACAGTCGCCGTTTTATTTAAATTACGGACAGGACCCAACAGTACCCATGACACCGAATCCCGACAACCCCGTCCCACGAGCACAACAGTTCGCCGAGATTCTGCAAGCAGCACGGACCAGGGCAGCAGAAGCAATAAAAAAATCAAACATCATCGCTAAACGCAACGCCGATCGACATCGCAGACCCGTTACTTATCAGCCCGACGACCTCGTTTTACTCGACACTCAGAACCTTCGCCTGCCCATCACTCCAAAACTTCGCCCCCGATATTGTGGGCCATTTCGCATCAGCCACATGATCACACCCGTCACCGCCCACCTCCTCCTCCCTGCTGACTGGTACGTCAGCCCGTCATTCCACGTCAGCCTACTTCGCCCTTACATCCCATCCACGAGCCAACTGCCACGAAATCGCCCAACCAGCATGACACGTCCCCCAACCGAACCACTCATCACCCCTGAAAAAATCCTCAGCCACCGAGTCCGCGACCCTCGGGGAGCCCGAAGGATCGAGTTCCTAATTCGCTGGAAGGACCGAACGCCCACGGAAGACAACTGGGTCCCCCTGGATAAAATTGAGAACCACCCTGTCTTCACCGAGTATCTGCGAAGCCGAAATTTCCGCGACGTCCATGCGCTCTCGTAAGAGGGGCCTCCTTGGGGAGGGGGGTAGTGTAAGGAAATTCCCTTTTCCTTACTTCGCGTCCCTGCTCAGCGCGTACGTCACTGTAGCACCTCAGTCAGCACCGTTACCACTCGCGACCATCGCATCATTCATCATCCCGCCCTTTTCGCACATCGCATCCCGACCTCACGGCTCGGCTGGTAACCCGCGCTCCGGGCCTACGCTTCGACACTTTCCCAACCTCAGTCCCAGGCTCGACGCGCGACAACCACAGTCCATTACCGTTACCACTATTATTTTCGCTATATAATCCTTCGCTCATGCCTTCGCTCATTGTACTTTTGCTTCGATAGTGCAATTCTCGTTCGTTCACTCAATTGCACTCGTAATACAGACCCGCGCAAGTTTGCAGAGCACTCCACTACAAAGCCCTCCAGAAAACGTTTGTTAGACAAATATGACATTCTCAACAACAAAAACAAAATACAATTGTTACGTGCAATTGAATGAACGAGCGAGGATTGCACTGAAGGCCCACGAGATGAACGATGTGAATGAAGCCATGAGCGAACATTTAGTAGCGAAACATGCAAACGCGGCTTCGAACAACTGATGTCATGCTGGCAGCGAGGTTCGGGCTTATACGGTAAGTGGAAACAATATACGGTACGGTAGAGTGAAAATGTACAAGCTTCTGCGATTTTGATGTTGATCCAAGTTGGTTATAGACGGCGCCATGACGAAAAGGTGCCTCGAAACATCCACTTCAAGGAACGACATGGGCACAAAACCATGCGTGGCATGCTCTTGGGCAATGCAGCTCCATGCTTGCATCCATCGCAAGGGATGTTGAGTTGAGTGCATGTGAGAACATACATGCTACCATGCATGCATGCAAGAGCAGACATGCTACCATGGATGCGAACGCTGTTAAACCAGACAGTCAATGAAAGGGTGAGGGCGTGGATGTGTGAGGGCATGTCAATGTGAGCATGAATGCGCGTGAGAGTACAAGTGTGAACACAGGTGAGAGCACGAGAGTGAATGCACGTGGAAGCATGAGTGTGAATGCACGCAAAAGTACGAGCGTCAATACCCGAGAGAGAATGAATATATGTCATAGCACACCAACGAACCGGTGATCAGCCGAGCTGTGCTTGCAGCGCGCACACCCACGATCGCAGCAGCGGGGACCACGGGGCACAGGGGAAGGCAGAGAGCAGGCAGACTGCCACCTGGGAGGAGCAAGGAGCAGGGGAGGTGAAAGGGAGGGAGGGGAGAAGAATAAGAGCGCATTAAGCATCCATCACCAAACATGCCATTTAATCAAGGGTTATTGAGGAATCCGCAAAAAACAACTCAACCCACATGCCTTACCATCCTCCACCACACATAGCACTCTTGGAGTTATGAGTGGTCTACTTTCATTCACGTCATGGCAAGTCCAAGCAGACAGCTAAGTCCCATCAGACACTCAATCAGTCACCAAAGCAGCCCTTTTCAGCACCGCTGCTCCTCTGCGTCCCCCTTGTCGCCCCAACTGCCCCACCAATCGTCTCCTGGTGCTGTCATCACGTCCCACCAAGTCACCTTCTCACACAACTGCTCCCTCGTCTCCCCCTCCCATCCACCCTCTTTCTCCCCCTCCCATCCAACCCCCTTCTCCCCCTCCCATCCCCCCCCTTCCCCCTCTCCTCCACCCCTCTTCCCCTCCCATCCACCCCGCTTGCCCTCTCCCATCCACCCTTCTTCTCCCCCTCCCATCCCTCTCCTCACCTGCCATGCCACTCGCCTGACAGCCCTCTCCTCGTGCCCCGCCAGGCACTTCACCACCACTGCTGCCACTCGCACCCGCACCCCCTCCTCCCCCTCCTCACGCCCCCTCCACCGGGCCAATGGGCGGCTGACACGTGGCAAAAGGGAGGAGGTGGTTAGAGGAGTCATATGCAGAGCCAGTAGCGGCAGAGCTTGTCGAGACGGGGAGAGGTGGAACGATTGCGGGTGCACCGAGTATGGTTGCACCGATGCTTGGGCAGCTGGAAAACGGTCAGACTGTTGCTGCTGCTGCAGCTTCACCGCCATGTGCTCATCCGCCTCTGCTTGACTCATGAGTACATTTCTTTTCACTCCAGTCTGCTTGGTTTGCTGCGGGAGAGGAAGGTGTGAGAAGCGGTGCAGATGGCGTGTGAGGGAGAGGGGCAGGGGTGGCGGTGGGGAGGCGGGGAGAGCGAGGGAGAGGAGGAGGGGGAGAGTGTGGAGGGCGAAGGGAGGAGAGACGTCACAGAGGAAGGTGAGCGCGAAGAGAGCTGCATGGCGCTGCTGGGGTGGTTGGGTGGGGCGTGCGGGTGTAGGGGGAGAGGGGGATTGGGTGTGAGTGTTGTTGAACAATAGAGCGACGGAGGGGAGGAAGATGAGAACGAAGAGAGCTGTATGGCGCTGAGGGTGGGCGAGTTGGGGGAAAGGGGCAGGAAGAGGAGGGAGAGAAGGATGGTAAGATGGGAGAGAGGGATAAAAGGGAAAGATACGTAGAATGGAGGGAACGAAGGGGGGTTGAGGATGAAGGGGGCAGAGACAACACAGAGGAATGTGGCCGCAAGGAGAGCTGCGTGGAGGTTGGGGTGGGAAGACAGTTGCAAGGGAAAGTAAGGATGGAGAAGCAGTGAAAGCGAGGACTTGGAGTGAAGTATGGCAGCATGGAGGTTGGGGTGGAGAGGGAAGGACCGGGTTGAGGTAAGGGAGGAAACCGCGAAACAAGGGAGGGGAGGACAGGCGGCTATATAGGCAGCACGAAGGAGAGCAGGAGGAGGTGTGAGATGGGCGAGGTACAGCGAGTGAGGGAGGGGAATCGCGAGAACACACAAAAGCGAAGAGCAAGCAAGGCCTGCAGAATAATGACAACAAAAACGAACACACACACGCACGCACGCACACAACCACCCAACCACCACCTTTCTTTTTCCCCCTCCACCCACCCAACCAACCCCCTCCTTTCCCCGTTTTCTCCACCAGATACACAACACTCGCACACACGCACGCACACACACACACACACAGGCACACAGGCACACACGCACACACGCACACACGCACACACGCACACACGCACACACGCGCACACGCGCACACGCACACATGCACACACGCACACACGCACACACGCACGCATGCAAACCTAAACACACCACCCACCTCACCTCCTACTTCCCCTTATCCCCCTTTTTCTCCCCCTCCCCCCCCCCACCCCAACACCTCACTCACCTCCTGCTGTCCCTCTGCTTTCATCGCCGCCCGCACCACCAACTCCTGCACGTGTGCCACGTCAGCAGCCAGCGGAGCGAGGCAGCCAATCAGGCGCAGTGTGAGACAGCGGGCTTCAAGGGAGTCAACTGTGGGTGTGCCTGCTGGGTAAGTGGCAGCTGTTGCTGCTGCTGGTGCTGCTGCTGCTGGTGCTGCTGCTGCGGTGGGTGGGAGTGGAAAGGAGGAGGAGCGAGAGAGCAGAGGGGCGATCCTGGTGATGACTTGGGTTGGGTTCAAGAGCTTCCCAGCACTCAACACACCCGCCCAGTCACTGGCGCCGCCAGCACCACCATCACTGCCAGCAGTATCATCACAATCGCTATCACCATCACCATCACTCTCATTGCAATCATCACTGCCATTACTGCCGCTCGCACTGTTGCTTCCATCATCACCAAAACTATCACCACCACTTTCTCTCTCTCCTTCCCTCGTGACCACTCTGTCTCCCCTTCTTCTCCCTCCCCTCCACACATCCCTCACTCACTCTCCCTCCCTCCTCCACCGCCACTGCAACAGGCTGACGTCATGCATACTGCTGACGTCAGGCATGGCGCCACCACCCGCGTCACACCTCCCGGCACCGGGGGGCGTTCTCAGGGCGGCAGGTGCGAGTGAGGGGGCAGCGGGTGCAGCTGACGTGGCATGATGAGATGCAGGAGAGGGCGGAGAAGGAGGAGAAGGAGCAGGGGCATATGGAGGAGAGGGAGGAGAAAGAGGGAGAGGGGAAGTGGCGGTGGAGAGGTGGAGGAGGAAGAGCTTGAGAATGCAGAGGCGGGTGGCGCTGCTGCTGCTGCTGCTGAAGGCATCAGCCAGGCGCAGAACCAACGAACTGAATAGTACCACGTCACTCTCAGACACAGGGGCTTGTTGCTGCTGCCCCTGCTCCTCCCACCCGCTCCTCCTCCGGCTCTCCGTCTCCCTCCCCCTCTTCCTCCTTCTCCCCGCCCCTGCGCTCCTCCCTGGCTGCTGCGCCAGCGTCCAGTGCACGAGGGCAGGCCCGGCTGCGAGAATTCCGTGGCACTGAGTGGCTGAGAGGGCGGGGACAGGCGGAAGGGTGGAAAGGGTGGGAGAGGGAGTGAGAGGGAGGGATGCAAGGGAGAGAGGAGAGAGAGGGGATCCAGGGGATAGGGTGCGGAAGAGCGGAGAGAGGGGAGAGAGTGGGGAAGAGGGGAGAGGGAGTGGGCGAGTGAGGCGAGTGTAAGGTGCGGCGCCGAATGTTTTTCCTCTGCTGCGAGGCCGCTAGAGCGGGGCGAGCGGAGTGCAGAGAAAGCAGCGCGGCTGACGGTGGCAGGAGACGGGGACGAGGACGAAGGCGGGGAGCGGAAAGGGCTGAAGGGAGATTGGGACGAGGTGGGGGCGAGTGGAGGAGCGGGCGAAAGGTGGTTAGTGACGCCGTTGAGATTCGCCGGAACGGAAGCAGGCGATGGCATGACAAGGCACAGCGGGTGAGAATGACAAGGCAGGGAGAAGGAGGCGGCTCGGCGTGGAGCAGAAGAACGACTCTTTCGCAGTGACGATGGAAGCGGCGCGGAAGTGAGGACTAACACCTAGTGATCAATAGATCCGCGCGTACGGAACTCAGGGTTTGAACTCCAGTGAGTTTAGGGTTACGATTAATTGCGATTTTAGGGTTACGCCGGTTACATGTGCTGCGCACCGTGGTTTCAACGGCGACCCACCAGGCTGCGTGGAGCGCAAGGTGCGCTCGAGATGCGCCATCCAATCCGCCGACGATTCGCCATCACGAAACGCCATTACGTCCTTACCAATACCAGCTGCAGCTCTCGAGCGGAACTAATCGCGGCCTTGATTTGGGCACAACGGTACGGCGTGGAACATTTGTAAGCAAACATTGCAATTTGGCAACCCCCTCTCTGCTCGATGCTTGGGTTGGATCTGCAGGGTCAACAGCTTTTGGGAGCGGTTTCCGTCTAGGAGCAATGGTGCGGAGTGTTCTAAAGCGGTAGAAACAAACACGACCCACCTTGGCATGCTCAATCGACGTGTACACAGATAATCAGCCGATCTGTCAGACAGCGCTGGTTGCGGCTCAATGGCTGTCAGACAGCGCCTCGGTTTCACCCTTTTCTCTCCTGCCACTACCCAGATGTGTCAGCAACTGTCACGTCGCGAAATATTCGCGCGCGTCGGTGCGCGCCCTTTCCAAAAATGTCCCACCCACCAGCAGCACCATTTTTCCCAGCGCCGCGTTGCCAGTCCCGCCTGCGTCCCCCACCCCACCATCACATCAACAATACAGCACAAACCAGACGAACCCCAATCTCACTCCCTGCGCTGCACTAGCTCAACTCGTCTTCACTCGAAACAGACCACTAACGCCACACCACCCGTTGCACTGGTCAACCATTCGTCGTCAATTCTGGTTCCTGATCTACCTCTGCTATGCTATGTGACACATTCGATCCTTTCTCTCGATTTTCACCATCAGTTCGTAACGTCGCCTCAGCACGATAAGCTGTTACGACTTCCGTTTCGCTTTTCACGATGGCGCACTATCGATCAGCACGAGCAAGGCTGCCTTCGCTCATGCAGAGGCTGTTCCTCCTGGCATGCGTGGCGCTCCTGCTCCCGCTGTCGCAAGGTGTGTATCTCTGTCGTATTTCGCCGGCAGCGGCACGGTGCGGCATGGCATAACGTCGCCGGCTCCTCCTTGCCTGTGCCTCCTCGCTGCTACGAAACGCTAACCGTTTCTTGTGACAATCTCGCAGGCAAATGGGTGAGCCACCTGTCGTCGTATCGAGCGTATGAGCGCCGCTTGGCATCGGGGGAAGGACCAACAATCGGGACAGAACCGCGCGAATCCTCGGGATCTGATACGATCACTCCCGGCGGCTTGACTCTCAACTCCTTAGAAGGACCGGATTCGCCCAGCCGGCCCGCCTTTTCCCCTCTTCTGCGCGGATCTGCGCTGGCCGCAGCGGCTTCCGCGGAACTCCTCTCTCGGGGGACTCGAGAGGCGACGGAAATACCACTGGCCGCAGCGATTGTGGCGGAAGCTTAGGAGGCGAACGCGGTGTGGGCGGAAAGCGCGCGCAGCGTGCTTGGGGGCGGGCAAGGGGCGGAGGAAGGGGATTGGGTTGAGGGAGAGGCAGGGAGGCTTGCTCGGAGGCGGAAGCAGTGAGACGAGATGTGACGAGCGTCGTCAAGCGACGTGCGATCGCGGGCGAGCTCGCTGCGCTGCTGTTACTGCCACGTCACTGCTTGCGGCTGGCGCTAGTAGCGGTCGAGCAGGGGGGCATACAGCTGTATGGAGCGGCGTGGAGCGGGCGGCGGGGAACAGGCGGCGTGGATTAATCAGTCAGAAGCAGCGCCACTATAAGGCGCTGCCGAACTGCGGTGCTGCTGAGATTTGTGATTTGTGCAGCTGGGGTCCCTGGCGCTTTGCATGCAGAACTCTCCTGCTCGCCTTCTCCTGTAGTGAGCTGCTGACGAGAGCGGCGGGTTGGGGGAGGGGGTTTTGAAAGGAGAAATGCGCAAGGGTAGGGGAGCAGCACAGGCGCAAGGGTAGGGGAGCAGCACAGGCGCAAGGGTAGGGGAGCAGCACAGGCGCAAGACTCTGCAGTCTCACGAGTCTTGCTGCGGGGACAGTCACGAGTCTTCAGCAGACGCGCCAATAGCATCCTCTTTATAGGGATCATTGTCCGCACTTTTATCCCCCTTTGTACAGAATGCTGGCAGGCGAAAAGGGGGGACTGTGCGCAAGTAGACAGTATGGATTCAGCAGCCTACATGTTTAGGTACAGAGTCGAGTAGCCTGGAGAAGCAGGGAGCAGTAGGGAGCAGCAGGGAGCAGTGAGGAGCAGCAGGGAGCAGAGGGGAGCAGCAAGGAACGTGTAAGCATGCTCACTGTCAAAAGAGCGCGTTGAAAATCTCTTCGTCCGTATACATCTCACGTGGTGGCTTGGAGTAGGCCAGAGGGCTGGACTGGCCTCCCAGTCCCACTCATATCAAGTCTCGCTCAGTGCGACTGTAGGAGCCACCCTCCGGATTGTACTGTAGTCTTTAATCTTTTAGCTTTGTACGCTCTCTTGGTTGCTGTTCCTGGCCTGGCCAAAAAAACCCGCCAAGCATTTCACCAGAGAAGCACATCCTCCTCCTCAATTCCATCCTTTCTCGCCATCTCACCGAGCAGCCTTCTCCAAGAGTGTTGAGCATGGCAGTGGATTGGTCCTAGAAGGCCAGGCCTCTTTGGAGTCGACAAGCAGTGACAGGCTTGATACACGGATGGGGGGAATACTTGTGAAATCATTTAGTAGATTATGCCTTTGCTTGCACTTAGGTGTGTGTGTGTGTGTGTGTGTGTGTGTGTGTGTGTGTGTGTGTGTGTGTGTGTGTGTGTGTGTGTGTGTGTGTGTGTGTGTGTGTGTGTGTTTGTGCGCACATCCGATCTGCAACGGGTTTATAAGTGAATTTCGCTAAGCAGCCAGACTTAAGGAATAGTTAGCTACTACCATTCAAGTATTAGGTGCATCTAGCCTAATACCATCTAATGAGATGCAACTAGCGTACCTTGCATTCACGTGCTTTACCAGTGTACCTGAATACAAGACTGATAAGGCGCTTTGCTTTGCGCTTTGCAAGCACGGATGGAAAACCTAGAGCCCGACTAACCAGTACCGTAACCATGCTTCATTGCACGGATGCTAAACAGCTCAAAGCGAAGCACAACACTTGGTTCAGTGTATCAGCGGGCCTCCCTCTTGAGAGCTTGGTCCACATGCAGAGCATCTGGTGCGGCGACTGGTAGAGGTATTCACTACCGTATAACCAGAACTAGTACCATTCACAAAGCAGTCAGATTAACTAGGTGCAGCACCTGGCCTCGCCTCTGGACAGCTTGGTCCACATGCAGAGCATCTGGCGCGGCGACTGGTAGTGCGCGGTGAGGTAGTCGTCCATGCAGCCGAACTGGCAGAAGCGCCAGTTGTGGATGTAGTGGATGGTGTTGTTGATGCCGTACTGCACCACCCACATGCCCATGCTCACGTCCTCCATCTTGAATATCTGATGGGCCAGAAAGGGGGGTAAGAGAGGAAAGGGGGAGGACGGCGGACGGCGGGTAAGGGGGGGTAAGAGAGGAAAGGGGGTATGAAAGGAAGAGTGCAATGCGGGTTAGGCTGATGTGAGTGCAATCGACGTATGCTGAAAATCTCCCTTGGGAATACGTGGAGGGATTATGCAGAGGGACTAGATGCAAGGGGCTGCATACATAACACGATGAAGGCAGCAATGTCATGCATGCACCCTGTTGTGTTGGCCCGTGGCATGACATGGTGAGGGATGTGTTGCTGCAACCACAATCTCTCAACCTCCCAACCCCATCACCACCGCTCTGCACCCACCCGCAGCATCTTGTACTCCTTCATGCGCACGATGAAGTCAGCAATGTCTCGCGTGATGATGTACCCTGGCCCGTTGGCGTATGGTGGGTAGTTGGTCTCCGGCCACTCCTGGTGGTTGGGCCAGGGGGGTGGGCGGCCGGGTGCAAGCATGGGGAGAGGATCGGGGCAGGGATGGGAGCAGGGATGGGGTGACTATTGAGTGGACTACGATGTCCCGCGTGATGATGTACCCCGGCCTGTTGGCGTACGGCGGGTAGTTGGTCTCTGGCCACTCCTCGTGGGGGATGGACGGCAGGGGATGGACGGCAGGGGATGGGGACAGGGATGAGGGCAGGGATGGGGGCATGATGGCATGGGATGCCATGGATTGGCGAATACAGCCCACCCACAAACGGCCCAGTGCCCAATTCCCAGAGGCTCCTTAGTTTGCCTCTCCCTCTCCCCTCGCTTCCCTCCTACTAAACAGTCGTTGTCGTCTCCTCCCACCTCTTCAGACACGGCCCATTTCCCTTGTGGAACTCGTTGATGTTGTCCATGTACAGCCCGCTCGCATGCTTCGCTTTCTCCCTGTATCTCGCCCCACCCTAACCGCTCCTCTCCTCTCCTCTCCTCGCCTCACCTCTTCAGACACGGCCCACTTGCCCTCCCTCAGCGGCTTGTGGAACTCGTTGATGTTGCCCATGTACAGCCCGCTCGCATGGTTGGCGAATCGGATCTCGTCAAACACAGCGTCAAGGCGTACAAAGTTGTCGTCGTCCACCTTCATTATATAGTTGGTTGATACGTTGCGGAGCTGTATGGGAGGGGGGAGGAGAATGGGGGAAGAAGGGTTTTGGTAGGGATGTGAGGAAGGGGGGACGGGAAATGGAGAGTGGACGAAGGGACCTCGTGGAACACAGCGTCCAGGCGCACAACGTTGTTGGCGTCCGTCCGTCAAGGCTCATGATGTACCTGCGCATGTTGACTTGCTGCCTTCCACATGAGTTTCACACATTGCGCAGCTGTATGGGAGGAAGGCAGCAAGTTGGGGGGGGGGGGGGGGGGGGGGGGTCGGACTTGGGCAATACACGTGTGGAGACACACCAAGGTTGTCGTCGTCCACCTTCATTATGTGGCTGGTGCTCATGTTGCGCACCAATGTTATGGGAGGAAAGGATGGGGGCAGGCAGGTGAAAGACGGAGAAAGAGGAGCGAGACGAGCCTGAGGTAGAGCATGGTACAGAATGTTATCGCGTGAACGGGAGCTCCAGGTGGCACGAACCCCAGTCAACAGCACTGCACGTGGGCGAGGGATGGGACGAGATGGAATGGAGTTGGGACCCCACCCCACCCCACCCCACCCCACCCCACACCATGCAGCACACCATGCAGCACACACACACTCACCCCGAACTCGCAGATGGCGATGGTCTTGAGCACGACGAGGTCGTAGCGGTCGATGAACGGCAGCACCACCATGTCTCCGTACAGCGCGGCTTCCTTGTGCACCTCCACGTTCACCTGGATGCTCGGATGCTGCACATTGGGGGGAGGGGTGGGATGGGGTGGAGAGGGATATGAGTGAAGGGCAGCAGCACCATGTCTCCGTAGAGAGCGGCCTCCTTGTGCACCCCCACGTTCACCTGGATGCTCGGATGCTGCACGATGGGGGTGGGGGTTACAGTGACGGGGAGTGGAGAGCATGGCAGTGAGTGAAGGGCAGCACCACCATGTCTGCCTGCACCACCATGTCTGCATGCACCACCATGTCTGCATGCACCACCATGTCTGCATGCACCACCATGTCTGCATGCACCACCATGTCTGCATGCATCACCATGTCTGCATGCACCACCATGTCTGCATGCACCACCATGTCTGCATGCACCACCATGTCTGCATGCATCACCATGTCTGTATGCACCACCATGTCTGCATGCACCACCATGTCTGCATGCATCACCATGTCTGCATGCACCACCATGTCTGCATGCATCACCATGTCTGCATGCATCACCATGTCTGCATGCACCACCATGTCTGCATGCACCACCATGTCTGCATGCACCACCATGTCTGCATGCACCACCATGTCTGCATGCACCACCATGTCTGCATGCACCACCATGTCTGCATGCACCACCATGTCTGCATGCACCACCATGTCTGCATGCACCACCATGTCTGCATGCACCACCATGTCTGCATGCACCACCATGTCTGCATGCACCACCATGTCTGCATGCACCACCATGTCTGCATGCATCACCATGTCTGCATGCATCACCATGTCTGCATGCACCACCATGTCTGCATGCACCACCATGTCTGCATGCACCACCATGTCTGCATGCATCACCATGTCTGCATGCACCACCATGTCTGCATGCACCACCATGTCTGCATGCACCACCATGTCTGCATGCACCACCATGTCTGCATGCACCACCATGTCTGCATGCACCACCATGTCTGCATGCACCACCATGTCTGCATGCATCACCATGTCTGCATGCATCACCATGTCTGCATGCACCACCATGTCTGCATGCACCACCATGTCTGCATGCACCACCATGTCTGCATGCACCACCATGTCTGCATGCATCACCATGTCTGCATGCACCACCATGTCTGCATGCACCACCATGTGATGCATGCACCACCATGTGATGCATGCACCACCATGTCTGCATGCACCACCATGTCTGCATGCACCACCATGTCTGCATGCACCACCATGTCTGCATGCATCACCATGTCTGCATGCACCACCATGTCTGCATGCACCACCATGTCTGCATGCACCACCATGTCTGCATGCATCACCATGTCTGCATGCATCACCATGTCTGCATGCACCACCATGTCTGCATGCATCACCATGTCTGCATGCATCACCATGTCTGCATGCATCACCATGTCTGCATGCACCACCATGTCTGCATGCACCACCATGTCTGCATGCACCACCATGTCTGCATGCACCACCATGTCTGCATGCACCACCATGTCTGCATGCACCACCATGTCTGCATGCACCACCATGTCTGCATGCACCACCATGTCTGCATGCACCACCATGTCTGCATGCACCACCATGTCTGCATGCATCACCATGTCTGCATGCACCACCATGTCTGCATGCACCACCATGTCTGCATGCACCACCATGTCTGCATGTACCACCATGTCTGCATGGATCACCATGTCTGCATGCACCACCATGTCTGCATGCACCACCATGTCTGCATGCATCACCATGTCTGCATGCATCACCATGTCTGCATGCACCACCATGTCTGCATGCACCACCATGTCTGCATGCACCACCATGTCTGCATGCACCACCATGTCTGCATGCAACACCATGTCTGCATGCACCACCATGTCTGCATGCACCACCATGTCTGCATGCACCACCATGTCTGCATGCACCACCATGTCTGCATGCACCACCATGTGATGCATGCACCACCATGTCTGCATGCACCACCATGTCTGCATGCATCACCATGTCTGCATGCACCACCATGTCTGCATGCACCACCATGTCTGCATGCACCACCATGTCTGCATGCATCACCATGTCTGCATGCATCACCATGTCTGGATGCACCACCATGTCTGCATGCACCACCATGTCTGCATGCACCACCATGTCTGCATGCACCACCATGTCTGCATGCACCACCATGTCTGCATGCACCACCATGTCTGCATGCACCACCATGTCTGCATGCACCACCATGTCTGCATGCATCACCATGTCTGCATGCACCACCCTCGCGATCAACGGCCAATCCACCAGGCCGCTGCATCGCGGCCAGAGGTGCTCGCGCGAGGAAGCAGCAAGCCAGAGAGGGAAAGCAACGGCAGCAACACCCGAGCCACGAAGGACAGCGCCACGACCTCCACATTGTGCTTCTTGATGCGACTCTCCCTTTGCGCCGCTTCAACAATGTAGCAGGAGAGACAAGGGCAACGAAACACCAGGCCAAGGGAGCAACTCACCAGGGCGAGGAAGAAGCGCGCCACCACCTCCCCGCTGCGGATCTGAGGGTGCTGCAGCCACGTCTTGCGCACAGCGGTGCGCTCGGCAAAGTGGTTGGTGGCGGACAGGATGCCGATGAACATGCTCACGTTGACGTCCCCCCTCACAGCGGGCGCCTTGAGCGACTCGCTGGCCTCCAGGTCCGCCGTGCGCAGCGGTGGGGCGAGCGGCAGCGACGTGGCGACGAACGACTTGAGACGGATGGCGCCGCTGATGGCCACCGCCGTGGCCTCCTCTAGTGGGTTGCCCTGTGGGTGGACGATTGGGGGAGAGAAAAGAGGAAAGGCGTGAGGGGGAATGGCAGGGACGTTGCTTTGCTGCGAGGGACTTGAGGCGAATGACGCCGCTGATGGCCACCGCGCTGGCCTCCTCTAGCGGGTTGCCCTGTTGTGCGGGTGAGGGGGGGTGTGAGGGAGGGTGTGTGAGGGAGGGTGTGTGAGAGAGGGTGTGTGAGGGAGGGTGTGTGAGGGAGGGTGTGTGAGAGAGGGTGTGCGAGGGAGGGTGTGTGAGAGAGGGTGTGAGGAAGCGTATCAGGGAGGGTGTGAGGGAGCGTGTGAGGGAGCGTGTGAGGGAGAGTGTGAGGGAGCGTGTGAGGGAGAGTGTGAGGGAGAGTATGAGGGAGTGTGTGAGGGAGCGTGTGAGGGAGGGTGTGTGAGGGAGGGTGTGTGAGGGAGGGTGTGTGAGGGAGGGTGTGAGGAAACGTACGAGGGAGGGTGTGAGGGAGCGTGTGAGGGAGCGTGTGAGGTAGAGTGTGAGATAGAGTGTGAGGAAGGGTGTGAGGGAGCATGTGAGGGAGCGTGTGAGGGAGGGTGTGCGAGGGAGGGTGTGTGAGAGAGGGTGTGAGGAAGCGTATCAGGGAGGGTGTGAGGGATCGTGTGAGGGAGCGTGTGAGGGAGAGTGTGAGGGAGAGTATGAGGGAGTGTGTGAGGGAGCGTGTGAGGGAGGGTGTGTGAGGGAGGGTGTGTGAGGGAGGGTGTGTGAGGGAGGGTGTGTGAGAGAGGGTGTGTGAGAGAGGGTGTGCGAGGGAGGGTGTGTGAGAGAGGGTGTGAGGAAGCGTATCAGGGAGGGTGTGAGGGAGCGTGTGAGGGAGCGTGTGAGGGAGAGTGTGAGGGAGAGTATGAGGGAGTGTGTGAGGGAGCGTGTGAGGGAGGGTGTGTGAGGGAGGGTGTGTGAGGGAGGGTGTGTGAGGGAGGGTGTGTGAGAGAGGGTGTGAGGAAGCGTATCAGGGAGGGTGTGAGGGAGCGTGTGAGGGAGCGTGTGAGGGAGAGTGTGAGGGAGAGTATGAGGGAGTGTGTGAGGGAGCGTGTGAGGGAGGGTGTGTGAGGGAGGGTGTGTGAGGGACGGTGTGTGAGAGAGGGTGTGAGGAAACGTACGAGGGAGGGTGTGAGGGAGCGTGTGAGGGAGCGTGTGAGGTAGAGTGTGAGGGAGAGTGTGAGGAAGGGTGTGAGGGAGCATGTGAGGGAGCGTGTGAGGGAGGGTGTGTGAGGGAGGGTGTGTGAGAGAGGGTGTGAGGAAGCGTATCAGGGAGGGTGTGAGGGAGCGTGTGAGGGAGCGTGTGAGGGAGAGTGTGAGGAGGCGTTTGAGGTAGAGTGTGAGGGAGAGTGTGAGGGAGGGTGTGAGGGAGCATGTGAGGGAGCGTGTGAGGGAGGGTGTGTGAGGGAGGGTGTGTGAGAGAGGGTGTGAGGAAGCCTATGAGGGAGGGAGTGAGGGAGCGTGTGAGGGAGTGTGTGATGGAGCGTGTGAGGGGGGGAATGCAGTGCGACTCACAGAGCGGTACTGGAAGGACGCGACGTGGTTGCCGTCCACCGAGACGTGGAAGCCCTCCCAGCCAGCGCGCACAACGAGCACAAAGAGGCGGTCCTCGTGGAATGGGAAGGGCCACTCCTCCGTCACCTCCTTGTCCGCCTGCTTCATCACCTGCCAGGGCGTGCCGAGGGGTGCAGGACGGTGCAGAGGGGTGCAGAGGGGTGGAGTGGGGTGAATAGGGGTGCATGTGAGTGGATTGTGGTGCACGCGCGCACCAGCTGACGCCACTCTCACCTGCTGCGGCCATCCGGACAGCTTCTTTGTGTCCTTCAGCTGCTACCACCTTGCTTGCCACACATGCTCCTCTCACACGCCCCTCTCACACGCCCCTCTCACACGCCCCTCCCACACGCCCCTCCCACACACGCCCCTCTCACACGCCCCTCCCACACGCCCCTCTCACGCCGATGCCACCCCACCCTCACCTGTCGCTGCCACCCCGACAGCTTCTCCGTGTCCAGGTGGGTGCCATCCGCGCCTTCAGCGCCGTCCATGCGCTCCTGGTCCTCCTCTGTGCGCGCCCGCTCCCGCGACCACTTCTCACACCGCCTCTGCCCGTCCACTGGGGGGAAGAGAAGAGAGGAGAGGGAAGAGAGGAGAAGAGGGGGAGGGGTGAAGAGGAGTGGAGCGCATGGGGGAAAGGTGCAGTGCAGAAGAGCAAATTGAACCCAAAACGCCAAACCCTCACTGCTTTGACGTTGATGGAGGCGTCTTGGAGCGCGCTGCTTCTCACCTCACTCCTCACACCGGGCAAATCCGCCCCAACGCTGAAGAACAGTCAACTCACCCCCAAAGTTGCACAGCAGTCACGACCCAAGTCACACCCATATTGCACTTTGGGGGTGCAGCACTCACACCCAGCTTGCACTTCCCTCCCTCTGCACCCACTCCCTCCCTCTGCACCCACTCCCTCCCTCTGCACCCACCTCTCTCCCCCCTTGACCCGCCTCTTTCCCCACGCCACGCACCTCTCTCCTCATGGTAAGTGGAAGCAAACCCTTCACACCGCACCGACTCGCCCCACTGTCCGCGGTAGCACGTGTTCTGCTCGATCACGCGCACCCCTGCACTGCCCCCCACGCTGCTGCTGCTGCTGCTGCTGCCCCCACTGCCGGCAACAACACTACTGATTCCGCTGCTGCCTCTGCTGTCGCCCGTCAGGTGTGCGTGCAGGTGGTAGATGCGCGTTGCCTCCTCGCCCTTCACCACCACCAGGCCCTGCGGGAAAGGGAGTGGGGGGTTGGATAAGAGACTTTGGGAAAGGGTTAGGGAGGAATGCTGCTGCTGGTGTCACCACCACCAGGCCCTGGGGAAAGGGAGTGGGGGGTTGGATAAGAGAATTTGGGAAAGGGTTAGGGAGGAATGCTGCTGCTGGTGTCACCACCACCAGGCCCTGCGGGAAAGGGAGTGGGGGGTTGGATAAGAGGATTAAAGGGGGGGATGAGGAGAGCGGGGTGAAGGAGAGGGGGAGAGGGCGGATGGAGAAGGGGAGAGGGGAGCGGGGAGACGAGGAAGAAAGAGCATGCGGAAGGGTGAAGGCGGGATGCTGCTGCTGCACGTGCTTCTGCTCCCTCAGGGGCGAGAGCAGGCGAAGGAAAAAGGGGAGGTGCTGCTTGAGAGGCGGCTTTTGAGTCCAGGTGAAACGTGAAGTCCCCTCAGGAGCGAGAGCAGGTGAGCGCTTTTGAGTCCAGGTGAAACTTTTCGACTCTTAAATTCCCTTCAGGGGCAAAAAACAGGTGAGGGAACGGGGAAGGTGCAGTGGACGCGTGTCGTTCCCTCCCTCTTACCAACACCAGACCCCTGGGGGTTAGAGGGGACAAAGAGGGGGAAAGGATGGGAAGAGGCGGAAGAGAGGGGGGATAGAGGGGAGATAGAGGGGGAGAGCCAGGAAGAGGGGGGAGAGGGAGGAGAGGGGGGAGAGGGGGGCTAAAGGGGAGGTTGAGGGGGAAAGGGGGGGAAGAGTGGGGGTAGAGGGGAGATGGAGGGGGGATAAGTTGGAGATGCGGGATAGAGGGGGGTTTACAGGGGGGATAGAGGGGGGTTACAGGGGGGATAGAGGGGGGTTACAAGGGGGATAGTGGGGGGTTACAAGGGGAATAGAGAGGGGTTGGAGGGGGGTTAGAGGGGGGATAGAGGGGGGATAGAGGGGGGGTTAGAGGGGGGGTTAGAGGTGGGGGGGGGGGGGGGGGGGGGGGGGGGGTACAAGGGGGATAGAGCCCAACCCTATCAGTTTCGCCAAGCCTACCATATTCCCAAACCCGACCAGGAAAATGCCCCTCCCTCTAGCTTTGCGTCTCCCACTCACCACGCACCACCCCCTCGCACTCACCAGCACCCCCTCCCAGGCACCACTCCCCCCCACTCACCAGTATTTCCAGCATAAACGACAGCGCCGACCCTTCACTGCCCGTCCCCCTTCCTCCCGCCGCCACCTCCCCCGCGCCCGCCTCCCTCCCCGCAGCTTCCGCCCCCCCATGCCCGGGAGCCGCCCCTCCACGCCCCGCTTCCGCAGGCGTGGACGGTACCATGCCCACCACCGTAATCGCGGAACCCACGCGCATCCCGCACGGCAGCTTAATATCCCCGCTTTTGAGTTCCTCATCCCCCTCCGTCAGCACTATAGCTCTCTGACACGTCTTGACAGCGGCTGTGCCCTCCGCGCGCGGGTCCTTCTTCCCCTCGCGCTCTAACGTCTCTAATCTCTCCATCTCCGCGCGCATCTCCCGAAGCGCCATCTGCCCCGCTTCTAGCGCCTCCACGGACGACTTCTCCAGCACCGACCGCCGGCTAAACGGCCCCGTCCGCCGCTTCTTCTTCTTGACGGCCGGCAAGTTAACCGGCAGCGGCTTCTGACGGCTCTCCACCTTCTCCCCCGACACCTCCTCCGGCTGCTTCACCTCCTCCGCACGCCTCGCGCCCGCGCCCGCTCCGCCAACCGCTCCCACGTCTCCGCCTCCGCCGCCTGCGCCGTCCGCGGACGCCTCCTGCAGCCCCGCGGCCTTGCGCTGGCGGTCGGAGCCCCACGTGTTGCGCGTGAAGGTGGCGCGCAGTCGGTCCATGACGAAGCGGCGCTTGCCCGTGTTGGTGTCCGCCACCGTCAGCACGTCCATCTGCCGGTCCGCCTCGTGCTTCAGCTTCTCGTCTGACGACTCCGGACTCCAGGGGCTGCATGGGGGGGGAGACATGGCACGGTAAGAGAGAGGGGGGGTTGGGGGATCAGTGTGCATGGGCGTATTCGTGTCCGCCACCGTCAGCACGTCCATCTGTCCGGTCCGCCTCGTGCTTCAGCTTCTCGTTCGTGGATTCTGAGCTCCAGGGGCTGCATGGGGTGGGGGGAAGGGGATGGGGAGGGAGGGGGTTGGGCCGGTCCGCCTCGTGGGTCAGATTCTCGTCCGTGGATTCCGGGCTCCAAGGGCTGGTAGGGGGAAACATGGGAAGGACACGGTGAGAAGGGAGAGGCTTTTGAGGCGCCTCTAAAGGTGTCCGCGGATTGCGGGCTCCAGAGACTCTGCGGAAGACATGGGGAGGCACGGCACGGTGAGAGAGGAATGAGCAGAAGAAGCGGGTTGGTTTGAGTGTGCTCGCGTCGCCGACGGTCAAGCGTTCATCCGTTTTGGTAAACCGTCAGGCAATACGCGTCGTCGTGCTTCACCTTGATCGCATTCGCTGCATGTCAGCTCCAGAGACTGCCGGTTGCGACGACTGCCGGTTGTGACGACTACCGGCTGCGATGAGAGCCAGTTGCGACGATTGCCGGCCTGGATGCCGTCGGATGTATAAGTGACGCCTCGTCGACGCGTCATGGTCAAGCCGGCGACCGGCCAGTTATCGAGGACATAGCCCACTCGACTGGACTAGGAACACATTACCTGAATGCGTTACGTTACCCACTCGATGGTGCGAGTTGCTCTCCGTGAAGTGAATGCTTAACGTGAATTCTCCCCCATCCGCTCACCCGCTTACCCGCTCACGCGCTCACCTCTCAAGTAGTCCTTTCGGCGCAACGAAGACCACCAGCATGAAGATACCGGCGGCGACGGCTAGCAGGCGGGCGAGCCGTCGCTGCGTCAGCGCGCCGGTAAACATGCCGGCGCCGGGTTTAATCCGCTCGCGGAAGTCATCGCGGTGGTGGTGGTGATGGTGGTGGAACGTCGTCGGTACTGCCGCCTTCCACGTTGTCACTGCTGCTCGCGGTCTGCCTGGCGGCGCTCCCAACGCCGTACTTCTACTCACCGCCATTCCTGTGCGGCTCGGAGCTGCTGGTTTCAGATCGTAAGCGCTCTCCGCTTTTAGAAGGCAGAACGTCGACAATAAATAGAGAGGCTCGAGCGATTAGGCGGTCGGCAAGTTTCGCGTTGAATCGAATTCAAGGCTTCCGCATAAATAACGGTTCTGCACTGATCTCACACGACGTGGCAGGACGCGCAGGAATATCGAAGCGAGGAGGATATTACGCACTGAAAATGCTTCCTGATCTGTTCTGGCCTGGACTCGTAGCCAAGCTGACTATTGTCACTAATTACCGTAATATCGACCTCGAGAATTCGTGAGCCGAGCTGCTGGGAGGAGTTCCAACAAACGTTGCTTGCAATGTTGGTTGGTTGGTTGTTGCTATAGTTTGAGTGAGCTAGGGAAAAACCGTCGGCTTTGTCATCAGGGAAAGAGGAGAACTCGAGAGAGAGTGCGTGGGCGACAAGGGAACGACAAGGTCGAGGCGAGGCGACTCAGGCGAGACGATGAAACGAAATCACTCCCAACCGCACGCGGCCTTACATGTGTCGTGTGCACGTTGGTTCTCCGGTCGTCGGCACCTTCGCAACAGCTCTCTGGTGGGCCGACGACCCACTCGCGAAAGCGCAACTTGTAGCGAAGTGTCAGCGCCAGTCGCAACTTTGGGTATCCTCAAGCTCCGAGGTCGAGCCGCTCCCGCTTGCGGCGGAGATTCGCGATGAGCATCGCAATGCAGTCCGTTGTCAATCCCGCCAAAACTTTGTCATACTCCGTTTTCACAACGTGCGATAAAGATTAGGTAAGTGCTTGCCTACCTTTTCACATAACGTGATGTTTGTAATTACATATTTTGAAACCAATAGCACAATAACAAGATTATGGAGATGGATTTCAAAGCTGTAGGAACTGCCACAAATTCAGAAGCTTCTGTTAGACTAACCAAGTAATATTTGTTAACTATTAGGATATTATAGCCAAGATGTACCGTACAAGAAATCTTTATAATGTGATTGTTAAATGAGAAGATGTTATTTAATAAAAATTACATATACCTCAGAAGTAGAAGCAGCGGAATGGGTGAACTAGAAAGTGGATGGGGTACAAATGTGCAAACCTAAGATTTGTACCCCTCAAAAGGCACCTCACTACAGCCTAACATTGTTATTATGCTGACACACCTAGTTAAGTGAGGGCTATCAAGGAAACGAACGAGTGACAGCAAATGGTCACAAGACCAGTCAAGACAAGAAACACAAAAAAACTCAGAGTGGATCTTGAGATCATCATGCAGTCCGAGCACAAACAAGAGGCCACAAGGCCAGTCCCCTGAGACCACAAGAATGTATAAATGCAAATACAACACTCCAGCAAGCAAGAGACAAAGCCACGACAATCGAGGGCCTGCCTCAACAAGTCCTAACTGCACATGAAACCTGTGGTGGTCACCAGCCTCCAGGCGCCAAGGCCTTGGTGAAGATGTCGACAGTGTTGGCCTCTGAGGCCACAAAGTCCAAGCGTGCCTGGCCGCGTCGATGCAACTCTCGCAAGAGAAAGTACTTACGTCAATGTGCTCCACTCTGCTCTTTAGTCGAGGATCTCGACACAGGAGGGTCATGACTTTGTTGTCAGCAAACAAGGTCGGTGCAAAACGAGGTCGCTCACCAAGGTCAGTGAGCAAGAAGGCCCACCAGCGAAGCTCCTGCGTGTCAGAATATTATGCTCTAGCCTGTAGTTGGGTGCTCCATAGCGAGTACAACCCTTCTAGGGTTTGCTATTTGTATCCCCATTCTTGCTAGTTCAACTCCTCCTCTTTCCTCTAAACTTTCACATGCTATCAGAGCAGGTCGATCCCCTTGGATCGATCCTGTGGGTGGGCTTACCACCTCGTTGCTTCCGCTGCAACTGCTACTACTACTCTCTGTGCCGCACGCCGCGTGGCGTGCGGCAGTTTTTTCTTCCCGCCGTGCGCCCCGAGGAGCGCGGCAGTTTTCTGCCCGCCGTGCGCCCCGAGGCGCGCGGCGGTTCTCTGCCCGCTGTGCGCCCCGAGGCGCGCGGCGGGCTTCTGCCCCGTCCCGCGGCGCGTCGCCCTCGGGAGGCGTTGCGACGGGCGATGGGGACCAGCGCGTCGCCCCCCGTCGCCCGTCGTGGCCTGCGCGCCGCCCGTACAGGCAGCGCGCGGCCCGTACGGGCTGCGCCAGGACCAGCCTCGCCCCGGCCATGCTGCGTTGCCCGTCGCGGCGCACCGAGGGCACGTGCACCGCCGCCCCCCCCCCCCCCCCCCCCCCCCCCTTTTCCCGTCGCCCGTCGCAGCTCCCTCGGGGGACTACCTGGGGGAGGGGGGCGAGCACCGCCCCTTCTGCCGCCTGTTTTGGCGCCCTGGGAGGCCGCGCGTCGGTCCCCCCCCCCCCCCCCCCCCCCCCCTCCCCCGTAACCTCCCTACCCGCCATCCCGCCCTGCCAGTGTTAGGGTTTGGGGGGTGGCGAGTAGGGGGTGGCGAGTATGGGAGTGGAAGTTGTGCATTCATCCCTTTGCTCCTCCTCCTCCTTCGTCTCCCACTGCTACAGCTGTCGCTGAGGGGGGTGGATGAGTGGGAGACTGGGGTTTAGGGTTTAAGGGGGGTGCGTGGGAGTGGAGCTAGGGTTTGAGCAGTGGGCGTGTGCCGAGAGTGTGGGACAGTTGGGGGAGGTTGAGTGGAGGCAGCAGTCTTGTCGTCAGCAGCAGCAGCAGTCCGGAGGCTACAATCTCCGGTAGTCCCCAGTCGCCCGTGGGTCCGTTGCTCGTCTGCCGCTACTATTAGCCGCGGGGCCAGTTACTCCAGTAGTCCGGAGCGCTGTTCCGGTTGCCACTGAGCCAGTAGCTCGTCTGTTTGTCTGCGGCGTCAGCAGTCGCCTCCCATCTTCTCTCCCCCACAGCTCCTCCTCCTCCTCACTTGTCCGCTGTGATTAGCTCTAGCTTTGCTCATAATTGTGAACTTTTAAACTGTTGATTCTTGTACTTGTGCTCAGAATGTGTGGTGACATCGTGATCCACCCTGAGCTTGTACTGCTTTGCTTGCTCTGCTGATTACACCCCACTTTGGCTATGGGGGTGTGTCAGAATATTATGCTCTAGCCTGTATTGGGGTGCTCCATAGCGAGTACAACCCTTCTAGGGTTTGCTATTTGTATCCCCATTCTTGCTAGTTCAACTCCTCTTCTTTCTTCTAAACTTTCACAATGCGCAGCCGAGGCACCAGCGTAGATCTCTGCCTCTACAGACGAAGCCACAAACAACTATCAGAACAATGTGCAGGAACGAGTGACTACCGTAGGAAGAATGGATGAGTACAAATAGGGCAATGTCTGACCCTAAATTGTTGTACTCAGTAGAGGCTACCCCTCTACACCCTACAATATAGAAACATAGTTTGGCACACCCCCATAGGCAAAGTGAGGGATAGCAAGAACAACCAACGGTCACAAGACCAGTCAAGCAAGAGAACAAAGCAAAGCAAAGCTCGGGGTGGAAATCAAAATTACCACGCATTCTGAGTACAAGCAAGCGGCACAAGGCCAGTTCACACGCAGAGTTATGAAAACACGAGCAGTACAATAATCACAACCTAGCAAGAGCAAGCATGCATGTGTATATATATACATATATATATAGTAGAAGACAAGTCAAGCAAACAGCAGGTGAGGCAGAGTAGGAACAAAGCCTAGAGCAATGCAGAAACGCTGATGATCACCAGGGACATGGGCCTTTGTGAAAACATCAGAAGTGTTGGCCTAAGAGGCCACGTAAGCAACGCGCAGCTTACCACACTGCTGCAACTCTCGAGCAAGTAAGTAACGAAGAGCAATGTGCTTCGTTCTATGCTCCAGTCTCTGCTCCTCACACGAGGCAATCATGGCCTTGTTGTCGACGTACAGAACTGGAGGAAAACGAGGCCGCTCACCCAAGTCGGTCAGCAAGTAGGTCAGCCAGCGTAACTCCTGTGCAGCCATGGCCCCCGCGTAGATCTCAGCCTCACAACTGAAGCTGAGAACGGAAGACGAGCGGGTGGATTTCCAGGAGACAGAACTAGAGCAGAGACTAGTGTAACCTTGTACGACTGCTGAGTTGCCTGGTTGTCGGCCCAAGAAGCGTTGGAGTGTCCTGTGAGTACCACTGAACCCCGTCCTCCAAAGCACGAGCCCCATGCTCGATGTACTGCACAAGTAACGCAGTACCCTCTACGCAGCTGTCCAGTGCTCCTTCCTGTGTTGCTCGGGGGCGAGCAAGGATGCTGAGAGGGTGCACGAGGTCAGGTCGTGTGCACGTCATAAGGTACATGAGGCAGCCCACAAGCTCTGGATATGGGCCACTCATCTCTACAAACTCGTCCGAAGGTGGAGCTGGGAGCGATTGACTAGTAGGGAGAGGAATGTGATGTGGCGAGGAGAACTAAAACCGAAGCGCTAAAGGACCTAGTGCACTATGTGTGACTGAGTCAGAGTGATGGTGCGCCGTGCTCTATCCCGGGTGATCTGCAAGCCAAGATAGCTACACAGCTCACCTAGGCCAGTGCAAGTGTGTCTCTTCTGCACTTCCGCCTTCACAAGGGTCAGCACCTCAGTATCAGCAGTAGCATAGACCAAGTCGTCGACATACACGAGGATGTAGAATGGCGACAGAGTAGGTTTGGTGTGTAGAAACAACCCATTGTTCGACGGGTCAGCAATCGAAGGAGCAAACCCAAGAATCGCACGTGTTGTCCTTAGTGTGTTGTGCCACTCGCGGGGCGCCAAGCGGAGATCGTAGGCTGGACACTGAAGGCTCCACTCAGTACCTTCAGGAAGCAACCCAGTGAAGCCAGGTGGGCGGCGCAGCCGGATCTCCTCATGAAGGCTCGCCAGCAAAAAAATTGTGGAGAAGTTGAGGGAGTGCAGCTCGTAGTCACGCTATGCTGCAACTTGCAGTATGTGGAGAGTCACTCTACAATGGTAGTGAGCTAGAGTTCGGGGGTTGGCACGAACTACTTGAAGTGA